GGGTCTCGATAATTTAAGACTATTATTCGGAGGAAAGCCGCTAATTTTTTTTTGGGGGGGGGGGGAAGAGAATGGAGTAAGTGGAAATATGTATTTTAAAATCATAATATTTAAGAAAGTAAAAGTAAAGAAGGCTACCTTCCGATTAACGGTCGCAAATTATCAAAGCCGAAAATATACCCTAACAGGGCCTCAGTCCCATGTCAATTGCAGACTTCCAGTGACTTAAACTGCACACTTCCAGTGACTTTCGCCACCGCCGAGAGTATCTCCCATGCTGCTATGCGCGACGTGGATTGGGGCTAAACTAGATGGTGGGGGTTACTCTTGGCGGTGGCGGTATAGTCCCCAGGAGGTTCGCAATTCGGCGGTGGCGGTATTGTCCTAAATGGCCCTAAATTATCGAGGCGGAAAATATACCCTAACAGCGCCTCAGTCATGTGTCAATTGCTCATTTCCATCGTCTTAAATTGCGCACTTCAGCGACTTTCACCACCGCCGAGAGTATCCCCCACGCGGCCTGGATTGGGGCTAAACTAGATGGCTGGGACTCACGAGCAGCAGCTTCCGTATCTCCTGCAGCTTTGTTTTTGGCCGCTATAATATGTGCCAGTTATTGGGAGCATAGCCGGCTAGGACTCACGAGCAAATAAAATGAAGGAAGCTGTAGGAGATGCGGTAGCTGCTGCTCGTGAGTCCCAGCCATCTAGTTTAGCCCCAATCCAGGCCGCTCACGCGGCGTGGGGGATACTCTCGGCAGTGGTGGTAGTTGCCAGAAAACCGCACATTAGGTCGCTGGAAGTGCGCAAATGACACGTGACTGAGGCTCTGTTAGGTATTTTGGGGGCGCCATAATATGTGCCCGTTATTCGGTGGATAGCCGTCCTAGCCATCTAGTTTAGCCCCAATCCACGCCGCTCATGAGGCATGGGGGATACTTTCGGCGGTGGCGGTATTTTCCCCGGAAGTTCACATTTCGGCGGTGGCGTATAGTCCCCGGAAGTGTGCAACTGACACGTGACTGAGGCCCTGTTTGAGTATATTTTCCGCCTCGACAATTTAGGACCGTTATTCGGAGGATAGCCGGTTTGGGTCAGGTTTAGGGTTTATGTTAGGGTAAGGGGTAGGGTGTGGGTTAGGTTTATTGTTAGGGTTAGGGTTACGGTTAGTGTGCCGCATCTCGTCGTCGCACAAACTCAAAGTAGCAACCCAAACCCTAAACCTAACCCACACCCAAACCATATGATGACAGTAGGGCACTGCACGCTGTCCATCGCCAACACACAGTAATTCTGTCACTTGTATCTTTCCCTCTAATCCACTCCGTAATGCGTCACAAGAAGCGGTAATTGAACGCGGTCGCTAATTTTAGCAGCAGCGCGGTGTCTGCTAGGCATGTCGACCTCACTTTGTGGTCTGATTCGTGCCTTCTCCAGTCCGTAATTGCACTGCAGCCAGGGGACAGAACTCCGACTAACCGGCCGTCTACTGTTGTCTACCGGCCGTAGTTGAAAGGAGAGCCGCCTTTATGTTATAAAACAACGCAGAATTATTAATATTATTAATTTATAAAATTATATAATAAATAGGAAAGAATTTCAAATATTAGAAGATAAAACTACCGTTACAACACATATATAGTATATAGATCACTAACATAAATCGGTTATGATGTGAGTCTCCTATGACAATATTGTTATTTCATTTATAAACAGTTCTGCGGTATCAGTGAAAGTCGTAATGTCAAAAGTCCATGGTTTGACAGGGCGCAGCCATCTTGCCACGGGAGTTAACTACGGAATTTCGGTTTGTGGAGCTAACGAAACGTACCATATCAGTTGATTTGTTAAATTACAGGTTTAAAAAATGTAAATTAGAGGTAGTGGATGGAGTGTGAGAGCAGCCGACAGAGTGTTGCTGGTTATGGCCATGCACTTTGCGGCGAGAGCAGATGATCTAATTGAGAAGACAATGGCTAGGGCCACTGACTAGCACTACTGAGTACAGCCCATGCCCAAAAGGAAAGCAATGGCAAACTACCTTCTGCAAAACTTGCCAAGAAACCATAACAGTCATGAAGGAAATCTTAACATAGCAAAACAGAAGTAATGCTTACAGATACAACTACTATGGAGAAAGAAATGTGTGTTAATGAGGGACGATTGTAGTTGGTGGAAAGTTTTGAATATCCTGGGCCATTGATTACTAACAATGGTGACACAATGAAAGAAATTAAACGACGACTATCACTTGCGCTTCAAAGTCTAAAACAACTGAATGAATTATAGAGTGGGATAGACAGACCCACACAAATTATATTGTTAAGAGCATGCATCTCTCCCATGACAACAGACGCCTGTGAGACCTGAACACTTACTAAACAAGCTGAAAAGCCTATAAATGCCTTTGAATACACATATTACAGACGGGCTTTGAGAAACTCATCGGTAAAGAGAATAACAAATGCATCCATTCTTCAAGAACAGAATATTGAAGAAAGTTGGCTATTAAAGATGATAAAACACAGATAATTGAAATATTTTGGTCACTTGAAACGTCACGAAAGTTTAGAGAGAACAATAATAAAGGGGTATATGCCTGGGAGGGTTCGCTCCCTGGCGGAGCCGGACTTTTTTCACAAATGACCTTGGCTCCCAGGTGTACCCGGTGTAGCCCGGGAAGTAAAGGCGACCGACGTGATGCTGACCACATCACCCATCTTTTGCTGATTGGTCTATAAAAAATAGGTCTAGCCCTATACGCCTAACGGCGTGAAACAGGGTCCTTTACTTTACTTTTTATATGCCTGGGAAGAGAGGAAGAGAAAGGCCAAAGAAAAGATGGTTGCATGAAATGGCTGATGATCTCCAGATGAGTGTATCGGAAATGGGACATCTTGCTTTGGGTCGAAGAGTTTTCCGGAGGATTGCTATGGGAGCAAGGTAGTGCAAAGGACATACTACTGACTGACTGAAGTTAAATTACAAATTCAATCTCCAGTCTTGCGTATTCAAAGTTGTGTGGAAGTAAAAAGGAACTCCTGAAAACAGTCAAGTTTATCACAAGAATTTGCCAGTCGGTGTAAATCGGAAAGCAGTGACTGTGACAAGAAGGATGAGGAGGAGGAGGAGGATGAGAAGAAGAAGAAGAAGAAGAGAAGAAGAAGAAGTAGGAATTTCTCAAGTGCTCTGATGTCAGTTCTTTTTTTTTCCAATAATCAACATTGCTGAAAGTAATTTGAGAGAGAGAGAAAGTTTGAGGAGAGAGAGAGAGAGAGAGAGAGAGAGAGAGAGAGAGAGAGCATTTTAGCTACATGTCGTAACAGTCGACCAAATCGGATCTTTGAAGTCAGAGTTCATCTGCCTGAAAGGCAAGGAACCAGTAGTCTGCATGCAAATGTATCAGACCTGGGAAACGGATGTGCACTCAACATTTAGTTTCTAGAATAGGACTAGAGTCCAGAGGTGGTTCAACAACCAGAAATTTCTGCCGGAGTTTAAATCCGGTGAACACGAAGAAGAAGAGGGAGAACGATCAAACATAACTACCTGTTTTTAACCAGGGCAGCCATAAATATATTTGTCGTGTTTACAAATTTAGATTAACCAACCGGCAGAAGTGCAGCAGAAGACACACATAAATGGCCGCCTCCTGTAGGAGGGACCCCGGACAAGGCAACCCGTGGCATAACTGTTGATTCCGTTGATACCTGGGACAATGGCAAGCGGTAAACACAGCAGAGTTGGTGACTGGCGAAATGTCATGGACAAAGTTCATATAAACTTGTCAAAGGGAACCGCCGACAAGCTATTTGAAGATGATTACTTCGTTCTGGAAATTATTAAAGTAAGTTAAACGACATTTTTTAACGTAAAAGTATAAAAAAAGATCTTGCCTCTCATCGCTGCTGTGTGGTGTAAATATGCCCGCTCGCCTTAATTTATGTCTCACAGAAAAAGAGAATATCAAGCAACTACGCCAACCACGACCATATCTATAACCCCCTTCCCATGCAATCTTAAAATGTTAAATTGAGAATCGACATCACAGCGCTCGGGACATTTCCATAACCTCAGCAGCAAGCGAAAAGTCCGGTAGTACCAGTAACGGTCCGATTATATATCTGTCTTGCCTTTACCTTGAGTGTTGGGGATTGGCCAGATCGGCTATCCTCCGAGTAACGGTCCCAAATTATCAAGGCCGAAAATATACCCTAACAAGGCCTCAGTCACATGTCTGTTGCGGACTTCCGGCGACTACTGCCACCCCCGAGAGTATCTCCCACGCCGCTACGCGCAGCATAAAGCGGGGCTAAACTAGATGGCTGAGACTCGCAAGCAAATAAAAACAAGGAAGCTGCAGGAGATGCGGTAGCTGCTGCTCATGAGTCCCAGCCATCTGTTTAGCCCCGCTCCACGCCGTGTGTAGCGGTGTGGGAGATACTCTCGGCGGTGGCAGTAGTCACCAGAAGTCCGCAATTTAAGTCGCCGGAAGTCCGCAATTGACATGTGACTGAGGTCCTGTTAGGGTATTTTTTCAGCCTCGATAATTTGGGACCGTTATTCAGAGGATAGCCACCAGATCCCCTGGTGACTCCTCGCATTGTAATTTTCCTCAGAGCGTAATGATTCATTTGTGCCTCCGCACTGTTCACTCACTCCCAAAGAGCCCTCACAACATCTAGCTTGTCATACATCACTTCACCACTAAGTGGTGCAGAACTGGCCAGTCTTATCTGCCTGCTCGTTTCCCAACACACTGGCATGACCGGGAGAAAATATCCAAAAGACACTCACTACCTGAGACTTTTGAAGCCATGCTTGCCACTCTGTACATAGCATACCTGTCTCCACCTTTCTCAACATGCTCCGTAAGTTACTATTATGACATGTGCGTACAGCTGATTCTCAAATCAGCAGAAGGGAACAGTGACTGCCTCCACCTCCATCCTCAAACTAGATGTGATATCATATGCCAGGCTTTTCTGCACTAAGCAACGTCCATCCAGAAAAAATGCAGGAAACCATAACACTTGATTGTGATCTGGCATCAGTGAGATGACGAAAGTAGAAGAAAGCGCCTGGTTCTGTTGTGCTGGCTAGCTCGTTTCAGTCTTCTTGGTTTAATGAAATAAACATAGGCTTTTCTTTATTACAGTTACTGTATGAGGAGACTCTTGATGTCCATAGCAAAATTGAAATACTGACAGTGATTGAACAATGGGGCAGTGCAGTTTTACCAACAAACAGGTGAGTAGTTACTACATTTTAATCTATGTTTGTAAACAGATGGACAAATTGTAACTGCATATATTGTGTTAAATTGTAACAAGTCTGATATTCTTTTTCACCAGGACATGCCAGATTGGTTATGTTGGTATTTGATTAATATTAGGATAGAGCTGCCATGGTTATGTTGGTATTTGATTAATGTTAGTGAAGACTTGGGATAGAGCTGCTATAGTAATGTTGGTATTTGATTAATATTAGTGAAGACTTGGGATAGAGCTGCCATAGTAATGTTGGTATTTGATTAATGTTAGTGAAGACTTGGGATAGAGCTGCTATAGTAATGTTGGTATTTGATTAATATTAGTGAAGACTTGGGATAGAGCTGCCATAGTAATGTTATTATTTGATTAATGTTAGTGAAGACTTGGGATAGAGCTGCCATGACTGCCTTGAGCTTGAACAGAACTGACCAGATTCACGGTGTAGATTGAGGTCAGGTCATAAAATGGTTTCTTGTGTCTCCTTGCACCTTGTTAACCCTCATCTCACTCTAAGTTGGAGTGCATCTGCCTGAGAGGTGAGGAACCAACAGTCTGCATACACACATGCCTGTTTGTAAAATGGATGTGCACGCAAAACTCAAATTCTGGAATAAAACCAAAGTCCAGAAGTGGATGAAAAACCATAATTTTCTGCCAGAGTTTACAACTGTTGAATGCTAAGAATTTGTATGCTTGAAACCAAATACCTTTTCAGCACCAATTATACAAGTATGTACACCCACATGTTACTGATGCCCTACGGGCAAGCAAAGAATAGAAACACTGACTTAACACGCAAGACATCTGAGGTGAGCACAGAGAACCGGTGTGAGTGGCTGGCTGCCTCATTTCATAGACAATTTTGAGCACCAATTGTGATGAAGTCTGTGATTGGCTGGGCATGAGTTGTTTAAGGATCTATGCTCCAGTGGAAGTTAAGAGGCAGAGAACAACAGCTCAGGGCATAAGTTGGGTTAGAGTCTATGCTTCACTGGAAGTTGAGAGGCAGAGAACAACAGCTCAGGGCATAAGTTGGGTTAGAGTCTATGCTTCACTGGAAGTTGAGAGTAGAGAGCATTTGTTCGTAGCATGAGATATTGAGTAAAATAACTACTGTCACATTGTCAGTACCCATGGCACAGTCTCAGTCAGACATACAAACTCTTAATACTGTATGTAGTCTTGATGGTTGTATAGTTTAGGTCCTTAAATCTGTATCTGTGCCCATAGACACAACACAACACACACACACACACACACACACACACACACAGTGAGATAAAAAAACAAATGAAAGAAGGAGAGATGGAGGAAGAAAATGAGAGGGGATGAAAGAGGAAATTAAGAAAGAGTATATAACAATTTGTGTGCATTTTTGTGTATCCTTAGCATTGATCAAGCCATCACTGCACTACTGGATGTGTTGGGAGTTTTGGACAACAGCCCTGGATCTTTGTCGCAGGGAGTTCAGCTTCTCCTGACTGTCACCACACTGTTTCTTGAGCATGAGGAACTCCTTGTAGGTCCAGACATTCTGTGACAGAACTGATGTGTTGATTCTGCTCATTTTAGTTTGGTTTGGTTTTTAAGTATGATTGTCATTACTTACAATATTTCTCTAAATTCTATCAGCAAAACAAAATTTTACACAGTGTACAGACTCTCTAAAACTCGTGAAGATTCAGATGTGTGTATGTTTTAGATATGTGTACAATAGACACACAAGCAGATACCATGGAGTACTAAAGTGAATCTTATGAGAACTATTTTTGGCCGACACTATGCTATCAATGCCAAACGTGGACACTTACATCCTTCAATGAACGTAAAATTGTGACAACAGAGATGAAATGCCTTAGGACAGCTGCAGGAGTTTCAAGGAAAGACAGAATATGAATGAAATCATGAAATCAGACGAATGCTAGGAATAAAGCCAGTCTTTCGGGTCATCAAAGAACACACAAAAAAAGTGGATTGGACACCTAACAAGAATGCCCTGGTACTATCTGCCACAGCGAGCCACACTAAAATGTTACAGCGGGTATAGAGCGAGTGGAAGACCTCGGAAAATATGGAGTGATGGCATTAAGAAGAAGCCTTACAGAAATGAACATCAGTCTTAATAGTGCTCTTGACAGAGCTCATCAACAAACATTACATCTCCTCCCGATACTTCGATGAGGTACAAGGTGGAAGAGAAGAAGAAGGAGAAGTAAAATAGACCCGCTCCTTCTCTAAATATTGTTTGTGTAAGACTATTTGCATCTGAGATTTAGCCACATCAACAGTTGTTGATTTACAGCCTCACAATATACAGACTTATCCTCCACATAAAACCATATTTAAATGTTTCCTTAAGGAATTTTGACTCATTCCTAACAATGCATAATCCTGATCAATTTTTAAAGTGAATTTTTCATTTACACACAAAGAATATCTTTCCATTTTAAAAGATAATATTTACTATTTGATTAAACACAGTAATCTTCACATATTATATCTGACACTGGTTCATATTCTCTTCCTATTTCACTGTATTCAGAATATAAAATTTACTGGCTTTATACTACTGTGTTTATTTTACGTTATTAATGTATATCACAAATTAGATGAATTTATGTACGTCACAAATTAGATGAATTTATGTACGTCACAAATTTGATGAATTTATGTACGTCACAAATTAGATGAATTTATGTACGTCACAAATTTGATGAATTTATGTACGTCACAAGTTAGATGAATTTATGTACGTCACAAATTAGATGAATTTATGTACGTCACAAATTAGATGAATTTATGTACGTCACAAATTATACGAATTTATGTCACAAATTAGATGAATTTATGTACATCACAAATTAGATGAATTTATGTACGTCACAAATGGCATAGGTGTCCATGCATCTCCATAAATCTCTTTCCAATGTTCTCTGGATCAGTTCCACTGATGATATCCCTCCATGCCACAGTCGCAGTCCATCTGTCATCTTCTGTCTTGGTCTGTCTCTACCTCTTCTGTGTGTCAGTCTGGATGGTGTCCGCGTGCGTGTCTGTATATGTGCCTGTGTGTGTGTCTGCGTTCGTGTCTCTGTGTTGGTTCATTTATATGCGTATTTTTATGTGTTTATGTATGTGTGTGTGTGTGCTTGTCTGTGTGCATGTCAGTCTGTGTGGTGTGTCTGTGGGTATGTGTGGCTGCGTGTGTTTCTGTGGGTGTGTGTGTTTCTGTGGGTGTCTGTCTAAGTGTGTGTTTGTATGTGTATATGTGTGGGTGGAGCTGCATTTTTGTCTGTGTGTGTGTGTGTCTGTCTGTCTGTCTGTCTGTCTGTCTGTCTGTCTGTCTGTCTGTCTGTCTGTCTGTCTGTCTGTCTATGTGAATCTATGTTGTGTCTGTAGGTGTTTCTGCACATGTGTCTGTGGCTGTGTGTTTCTCTCTGTGTTGCTTCGTGTGTATTTGCCTCATCTGCATGATATATGTAGTTTTTATTATAACCTCCCACTGTGATTCCTTGTGTATCTTTGATCTCTCTCAATATCATCTGTCTACAGAGAGAGAGACCCTGTCTTACTCTCTTGCTTGATCTGTTAAAATGTGCCTGTTTTATTTCCCATCTATAGCTTCCATTTGTTTCAGATAAAATGCTTAATTATTCTGAGATCTTTCTATCTATGTTAATATCTGTCAACATACATTTACATATGTTTTTTATGTATGTCACAAATGGACAGGACACAGAACTGTGTACAACATATTTATCAGTGCTCATGAACTTGGTGACCAAGGTCAACAACATCAACACGCGGCGGTTGAGGGCGGCTGCCTGTCAGTGCCTGGCTCAGCTAGAGTCCTGGAAACCTGTAAGTTGACACGTGTCTCAGCAAATTTGAAATCTTTATTTGTGACATTAATTTGTTTTGATTATTGATGCATACTTTGCTTGATGATTGTGTGTCTTTCCTTTTGCAAAAGTTTCCAGCTGCATCTCATGTTCAGTGAGAAGAATAACATATTGAGATTCCATAAGATCTGAATGTTTGAGACAACTGACTCATAAACATCATCATGTTTCAGATACAGAAATATCTTTGCAATGAAATACTCCAAGTGGGTTAGAAAGAATATTAGCAGGATAAATAATAAGCATGGTCACCAAAGCAAAGGTCAGCACAAGAAATTAGTCACACAGTGAGCTTAAAAAAAGATATGAAGCGGGGACACTTAAAAAAAAAAAAATTAAGACTCCTGGTGGAAAGCAGCGAGAATGTCATTAGTAAAACTACTGTAACATGATGAACCTGTCTCTGGATATTTTCCCAACGATTCTTAATCTACATCACATTCTGTTTACATTCAGCAGATGTGGTGTTTACATTCAGCCGATGTGGTGTTTACATTCAGCAGATGTGGTGTTTACACTCAGCCGATGTGGTGTTTACATTCAGCAGATGTGGTGTTTACATTCAGCAGACGTGGCAGGATAGGACACCAAGCACAGACACTTCTCTATTATAAAGGCTGACATTTGTCAACTGTCTGTATCATTGCTGGAGTGTTGGGGCAACAAGGGGTGGATCTGCATGCTTTAAGAGCACAACAATTTGGAACACTCACTGTGGACAGAGGAGATATTTTGCACACAATAAATGACTGCTAACTGAAGACAACTAGCAAACAAACCCACTTGTTCTGTGTTGATCACATTTGAATTTAGGCAAGGTTTCAGCAAAGGAGGAGTATACGAGTGGATGAACATAAGATCTTTATGATCCTTGTGTTACTGCAGTCATCAGCCTATGCACATTGTGACATTTGATGATAGAGATAATTATCTATAGTTGTCCAGAATGCTGTGATATTAATCCTTCTTCTGTTCTCTACTCCTGGGATGCCTCACGGTGTCAGGACAGGAAGAGATCTCTGGGATGGGCCCTTCTGTTCTCTACTCCTGGGATGCCTCACGATGTCAGGACAGGAAGAGATCTCTGGAATGGGCCCTTCTGTTCACTTTATGTGTAGTACTTGTCATTGTCTCCAATATTTCTGTGTCCATCATCTGCATGGTCAACCTCTGGATCTGTTTCCATTGTATCTTTAAAGCATTGCTCTCTGTGGTGCCCTGTCTGTTGCCAGTCATCTCACATGACCAAACCATTTGGTCTATTATCTACTGATAAAGTTCAGTTTTGGTTCTGTGCCAACTCCCCTCCTGATATCATCATTCCTACATCAGTCTTTCCTTATTGATTCTTCATTCACCAGAATTAAACATTCTTTTTACCTAGTATATCTATATATACATATGATGTGTGTGTGTGTATTTGTATGTGTGCATGTGTGTATGCATATATATATTCATATTTATGTGTGGCATATTTCCTGATGAGGGTCTGCTGTGGAGGTACAGAGAAACATTTGTGCAGCTGGTCAAGGAAGAGAGGACTGACGTCTGCCAGGACTACATGCAACTTCTCGTTGCTGTGGCCATCAACACTGACCAGTGAGTTATCCAACCAAATATTAATTCAAGATTTTGTCACTGTCTGCTGTAGTTTTAAGTTAATGTAATCAGCAACAGTGTAGTGAGGAGTGGCTGGTCACAATGTTAAGAACGCTTCATTGTGATGTAGGAGACCTAGGTTCGATTCCTTGCTAGGATTATGGGTTTTTCTGTCAGGGGGTAAAAATCAATCCTAACCTTTACAGTCCATGATGGCTGCAGTAGCCGTGTGACCCTAATTCCTCGGGTGCCCACACAAAGCAAAAATAGTCAATACAGGCGGTGGTGACTGGTTTTTTGACAGTGAACAACCAGTAACAAGATCTCAGATTTGGCTGGTTGGCGTTCCAGTGGAAACCAAGTTGTATGGGACAGTTGATGACTTGCATCACACCACATACTTCATAGAGGCCTAGGGTATTCTCCTCTGAAAGTCACTGGCAGACAGAATGAAAAGAAGACAAGAGGAAGATAGTGAACAGCGCTGTCCTCTGCTCCAGACCACTGTTGAAACATTGGAGAAAGGAATTGAAGCATTATGACATACTGTCAAACCTGCGCCAAGTGCTGACTGTTTCAGGTAGTCAGTCATGGCATTATGAGATAAGGTGGTCAGTTCTCATCTATACAGCTTTTCCCTATTATAACAGTCTCAAATATCCAGTCTGTAAGGCTGTCACATAACAGCAGATTAACACGTCATTTCACATGTGAAGAGTTTCAGAACACTGCTGGCGCAGAGTCTGTGAATATTAATTGTTGGCCTTCGCCAACATGAAGTCCTTCTGAAAACGGATGCAGATCCATTCGCTTTCAAGAACTGCACACAGCTTCTCAATTCAGACTGTCTTTGAACACTTGTACTCTCACTTGTATTTACCATTCAGCTCGTGATATCTGCTTCTTCCTGGCTGACCAGTGGAAAGTTTCTCCAGCTCATCGAGTTTCATGCTTGATGAGTCTTTGGGTTTTATTTCATTGCTTATTCATGAGAGATGAATATTCATGATATTTTCAAATCAGTATTTTATATTCTCAGCTCATTCTGTGTCTGTCTGTCTGTCTGTCTGTCTGTCTGTCTGTCTGTCTGTCTGTCTCTTTCTCTCTCTCTCTCTTGCATATGTATACTTGTATGTGGTACCCAACATGTTCAGTCACAAAGTGACTGTGTCATGTTATCTTGTAGTAACTAACAGTTATTTAGGCTGTTTTACTGAAACATTCATCATCATCATCACCACATCATAATCATCATCATCAACTTCAGCTCTTGCTATTCAGTTTGTGGGGAGGTACAAACAGTTTGCAACCCAACAGAAAGTTTGCAGTCCAGCAGTCGATAGGTTTGCAGTCCAGCAGTCGATAGGTTTGCAGTCCAGCAGCCGATAGGTTTGCAGTCTAGCAGCCGATAGGTTTGCAGCCCAGCAGCCGATAGGTTTGCAGTCCAGCAGTCGATAGGTTTGCAGTCCAGCAGCCGATAGGTTTGCAGCCCAGCAGCCGATAGGTTTGCAGTCCAGCAGTCGATAGGTTTGCAGTCCAGCAGCCGATAGGTTTGCAGTCCAGCAGCCGATAGGTTTGCAGCCCAGCAGTCGATAGGTTTGCAGTCCAGCAGTCGATAGGTTTGCAGTCCAGCAGTCGATAGGTTTGCAGTCCAGCAGCCGATAGGTTTGCAGTCCAGCAGTCGATAGGTTTACAGTCCAGCAGTCAATAGGTTTGCAGTCCAGCAGTCGATAGGTTTGCAGTCCAGCAGTCGATACGTTTGCAGTCCAGCAGTCGATAGGTTTGCAGTCCAGCAGTCGATAGGTTTGCAGTCCAGCAGTCGATAGGTTTGCGTAGCACTGGCTTTTGTCATTCTGTGTCAGTGTAGATTGTCTTCAGTGTGTCAGTTCATCTTGTCCTTTGATCTGATGTCAGATCTGTGTAGGTACAGCAGCCACGCTGAAAGTCTTTGTGGCTGCATTCTTAACAGATGACCAAACCATTTCAGAAATGTCCTATTTAGTCACTTTATCTCATAACTTGTGACCCTTACATCTTGTGTTGTCATTGTCTTTGAAGTTGACAACTTTGACCATAATGTCCATTTGTTGTCATTGTCTTTCAAGTAGACAGCTACTGACACTGACATCTTGTTGTCATTGTCTTTCAAGTAGCCAGCTAGTGACACTGACATCTTGTTGTCATTGTATTTCAAGTAGCCAGCTAGTGACACTGACATCTTGTTGTCATTGTATTTCAAGTAGCCAGCTACTGACACTGACATCTTGTTGTCATTGTATTTCAAGTAGCCAGCTAGTGACACTGACATCTTGTTGTCATTGTATTTCAAGTAGCCAGCTAGTGACACTGACATCTTGTTGTCATTGTATTTCAAGTAGCCAGCTAGTGACACTGACATCTTGTTGTCATTGTATTTCAAGTAGCCAGCTAGTGACACTGACATCTTGTTGTCATTGTATTTCAAGTAGCCAGCTAGTGACACTGACATCTTGTTGTCATTGTATTTCAAGTAGCCAGCTAGTGACACTGACATCTTGTTGTCATTGTATTTCAAGTAGCCAGCTAGTGACACTGACATCTTGTTGTCATTGTATTTCAAGTAGCCAGCTAGTGACACTGACATCTTGTTGTCATTGTATTTCAAGTAGCCAGCTAGTGACACTGACATCTTGTTGTCATTGTCTTTCAAGTAGACAGCTACTGACACTGACATCTTGTTGTCATTGTCTTTCAAGTAGACAGCTACTGACACTGACATCTTGTTGTCATTGTCTTTCAAGTAGCCAGCTAGTGACACTGACATCTTGTTGTCATTGTATTTCAAGTAGCCAGCTACTGACACTGACATATTGTTGTCATTGTATTTCAAGTAGCCAGCTATTGACACTGACATCTTGTTGTCATTGTATTTCAAGTAGCCAGCTATTGACACTGACATCTTGTTGTCATTGTATTTCAAGTAGCCAGCTAGTGACACTGACATCTTGTTGTCATTGTATTTCAAGTAGCCAGCTAGTGACACTGACATCTTGTTGTCATTGTATTTCACGTAGCCAGCTAGTGACACTGACATCTTGTTGTCATTGTCTTTCAAGTAGCCAGCTAGTAACACTGACATCTTGTTGTCATTGTCTTTCAAGTAGCCAGCTAGTAACACTGACATCTTGTTGTCATTGTCTTTCAAGTAGCCAGCTAGTAACACTGACATCTTGTTGTCATTGTCTTTCAAGTAGCCAGCTACTGACACTGACATCTTGTTGTCATTGTATTTTAAGTAGCCAGCTAGTGACACTGACATCTTGTTGTCATTGTATTTTAAGTAGCCAGCTAGTGACACTGACATCTTGTTGTCATTGTATTTCAAGTAGCCAGCTAGTGACACTGACATCTTGTTGTCATTGTCTTTCAAGTAGCCAGCTAGTGACACTGACATCTTGTTGTCATTGTCTTTCAAGTAGCCAGCTAGTGACATTGACATCTTGTTGTCATTGTCTTTCAAGTAGCCAGCTAGTGACACTGACATCTTGTTGTCATTGTCTTTCAAGTAGCCAGCTAGTAACACTGACATCTTGTTGTCATTGTCTTTCAAGTAGCCAGCTAGTAACACTGACATCTTGTTGTCATTGTCTTTCAAGTAGCCAGCTACTGACACTGACATCTTGTTGTCATTGTATTTTAAGTAGCCAGCTAGTGACACTGACATCTTGTTGTCATTGTATTTTAAGTAGCCAGCTAGTGACACTGACATCTTGTTGTCATTGTATTTCAAGTAGCCAGCTAGTGACACTGACATCTTGTTGTCATTGTCTTTCAAGTAGCCAGCTAGTGACACTGACATCTTGTTGTCATTGTCTTTCAAGTAGCCAGCTAGTGACATTGACATCTTGTTGTCATTGTCTTTCAAGTAGCCAGCTAGTGACACTGACATCTTGTTGTCATTGTCTTTCAAGTAGCCAGCTAGTGACACTGACATATTGTTGTCATTGTCTTTCAAGTAGCCAGCTAGTGACACTGACATCTTGTATTGTCTACAGGTTGGAAAAGGAAGAGCAAGAAAGGCTTATTTCAGAATCGGGAAAGAAGGTACTTAGATTATTAAGCAATAACTAGACACATTAAATTACACAGAGGCAGAACTCCTTTAATAGGCACAGTGACAATATATATTTGATGTACAGAGGTATATCACTATTGAGTACGTAGGTAGGGAAAATGTACGCCAAACTTCTAGAACAAAAAGTTAGACCCATAGCCGAACAACAGTTGAGTGCATCACAGTTCGGTTTCAGAAAAGGATGCACAGATGCATTATTCACTCTGAGGCAAGTGTGCGAGAAAGCCATTGAGTATAATACCAAACAGAATATTGTATTTGTAGATCAGGTAAAAGCTAGAGTGGATAGAAACAAACTGTGGTCTGTTCTTGAGAACTACAGGGTACAAGGACAGTTACTAGAGAAAATCTTAGCCATGTACTATACAAGCCAAAGTGCAGTAAGAACACAAGAAGGCATATCAGAAATGTTCACAGTCAACACAGGTGTGAGACAGGCATGTGTGCTCTCGCCCACTTTGATTTAATATCTATATAGACAGAATACCTAAAGAAGCAAGTTCTGATACAGACAACATAGACCTTTATAATCATGAGGAAGTAAACACATCAGAAGAAGTAATCGATTCACCCACATTAAACGGACTACTATTTGCTGACGACCAGTACTTGTTCTACTATGAAGAAGATAGACTGCAAGACCACATTAACAGGTTAAACTCAGCATGCAGTAAATACAAAATGAAGATCAGTGCAATCAAAACCGAAACAATGCAAGTTAGTAGAACCCCTGGCCCACTACTCGTACACCTGGAATGGTTCTGGTCTGGATCAGGTCAGGGAGTTTGAATGTCTAAGAATTATGATCACGGAAGATGGTAGAATTGACAGAGAAATAGAAACCAGATATCAGAAAGCAAGTGCACTTATATACCAATTATCACTATTATTAAGACATCCACACAAAACTATGAGTGCAAAGAGACAGATCTTAAACAGCATATTCATTCCAACATTAAGCTACCATTGCCGGACATGGACACTATCTAAAGCCCATATACGCAAAATCACCACCTGCGAGATGAGACGCCTAAGAAAAGCAGCCAATTCAACCATCCCAGATTGAGTGAATAAGGATACTATCGAGAAACAGCAGATCAAGAGGTTTGGCCATCTCGTTGGAATGCAGATCAAATACCATCACAAGCACTACATCTCAGAAGATCACCTACAAGAGTAAGAGGACGGCCATGGAAAATATGGATCGACAACATTAAAGACACTCTACGCCTTCACGGCATGACAATAGCCAGTGGCAGCTAACGTGCACTGGATCGCAAATCCCCATGGTGCTTAACAGCAGAAGTGGTTTATGATGATAATGATGAATGACATGTGGTCACAAATATTTCTGTTAGAATTTGCAGAGCTCCCCAATACTGTTTAATATCTTCTTGGAAAGAATTATGACTGACGCTCTAGAACAACATCATGGAGCAGTTAGTATAGAAGGTCAAACTATAATAAACTTAAGGTTTGCAGATGACATCGATGGGTTGGCTGGGAAAGAACAAGAGCTAGTCGAGCTTGTAAATCTGCTAGATGAAATAACAACCAAATAATGCAAGGAAATAAACACAGAAGAAAACAAAAGTCATGACTAATAATCCAGCTGGCAGAATGTCACCAATCTATGTTAAAGGCCACACATTAGAACAAGTGACTCATTTCAAATATTTAGGTTCCATTTGAAGTGACCTGGGATCAAGACCAGAAATCAAGTCTAGTATTTCCCAGACAACATCAGTCCTTGCCAAGCAGCAAACATTCTGGAGATCCACAAACATTTCATGCAAGACTAAGATCTGATTGTTCAGAGTACTAGCTATAAGTACATTTACATATGGCTGTGAACCGTGTATTTTAACAGCTGGACTTGAAAGAAAGATACAAAAATTAGAAATGCAATTTTTCAGAGACCACATTGCAAACGAAGAGGTTTGCCATAAAATTATACAGCACATTGGCAACAATGAACCTGTTTTAACTACAATGAAAAGGTGAAAAATGCAATGATATGGACATATAATAAGATCTAACGGCCTCTCAAAAACAATACTGCAGGGTTCAGTAGAGGGAAGGAGGAGAAGAGGCAGACCAAGAAAGACCTGGTTACAGAACCTGACTAACTGGACAGGTCTCAGGCATGCAACCATGAAGTCCATCGCAGCTCACCGCCAAAGGTGGAGAGAGCTGATCAGACAGTCAACAGAAACTGGTGACCCAACGATATGTAGTGTTATGGGATGATGATGATGATGATGATGATGAATGTTAAAAATGTTCATTGACCTTCAGGAGCCTTATGGTTTTTTTTCCATTGGTAGAGGTCATTTTGCTGCACTATTGCTGTGTTGGTTTTTAGCATATTTTATCACCTGGACTTCAATACTCGTGGTGTAGGAATTACTCTACGCTTACTCTATTTTTCCATATCAGAATTGTGAGTGCGTAGACAGACTTTTCAACTATTGTCACATTACCATTAACACACTCAAACCTAATCTGCAAGTATAACATCATCATCACCATGATCAGGTGCCTTGCCGACTGGCATGGACGATCATGCCTTTCCACAATCTGCGATCTCCTGCAGCATATATCAGTTCATGTGCCGACACACCTCCCCACCTTCCTTCCCTACGCCATCTTCTGTCTTTGTTTGTTTGTTATCTCTATCTCTTGGGTAGGTTGCCAGTAAAAAACAAAAGAGCTGATACAAACATGGCTCTGGAATGATGAAATAACTACTAGCTACATAGACTTAAGCGGGCTTCCACAGCCATGTATTTCCCATGTGATACTGTTCTCTCCCCTCCACCTTTTCTCTTCTCATTCATAGGTCACATCACTTTTACTTGAACGCAGAGCATTCCAAGAATTTGGAAGGGGAAAAGCTCGAGCGTGGGCAATTATGAAAAATAGTGATACATTCTTTGAATAAGATACCGCAAAATTGTAAGGCCTTTTTAACACACACAAAAAATGTGTGCAACTTATACACCAACAAAAACAGTACGTATAATCTTCTTTCTGTGTGCTGTATATTTGATTAATCTTCTTTCTGTGTGCTGTATATTTGATATATCTTTCTGTGTGCTGTATATTTGATTAATCTTCTTTCTGTGTGCTGTATATTTGAAAAATCTTCTTTCTGTGTGCTGTATATTTGATAAATCTTCTTTCTGTGTGCTGTATATTTGATTAATCTTCTTTCTGTGTGCTGTATATTTGATAAATCTTCTTTCTGTGTGCTGTATATTTGATTAATCTTCTTTCTGTGTGCTGTATATTTGATACTTCTTCTTTCTGTGTGCTGTATATTTGATACATCTTCTTTCTTTGTGCTGTATATTTGATATATCTTCTTTCTGTGTGCTGTATATTTGATACATCTTCTTTCTATGTGCTGTATATTTGATACATCTTCTTTCTATGTGCTGTATATTTGATACATCTTCTTTCTGTGTGCTGTATATTTGATATATCTTCTTTCTGTGTGCTGTATATTTGATATATCTTCTTTCTGTGTGCTGTATATTTGATATATCTTCTTTCTGTGTGCTGTATATTTGATACATCTTCTTTCTGTGTGCTGTATATTTGATACATCTTCTTTCTGTGTGCTTTATATTTGATAAATCTTCTTTATTTCTGTGTGCTGTATATTTGATAAATCTTCTTTCTGTGTGCTGTATATTTGATACATCTTCTTTCTGTGTGCTGTATATTTGATACATCTTCTTTCTGTGTGCTGTATATTTGATATATCTTCTTTATTTCTGTGTGCTGGATATTTGCTAAATCTTCTTTCTGTGTGCTGTATATTTGATAAATCTTCTTTCTTTGTGCTGTATATTTGATACATCTTCTTTCTGTGTGCTGTATATTTGATAAATCTTCTTTCTGTGTGCTGGATATTTGATAAATCTTCTTTCTGTGTGCTGTATATTTGATAAATCTTCTTTCTGTGTGCTGGATATTTGATACAGAAAGTTGACAGCTATGTCTCAGCAAAAGAAGGCCGAGATGTGCTGTCTACAGTGTCTCTGATCATGGACAACCTGTTTCTCTTGACACCTTCTGGGCTTGTCCATGTTGCCTGTTCACTGGTACAGCTGGTTAAAGGCCGAAAGGACACACTTCCAAATGTAAGGATACTCATTGACTTGTTTGTGTATGCCTTGATTTAACATTGTTTTATATTTCTCTTGTTGGATTTGTACATTTAATAAACATGGCTGCTTCTGTCTCTACTTGTTCTCAACATTAAAGTTTCTCAGGAAGAAACAGAATGATGTAATCTTGATATGTGGGATTAAAAACATGCACTTTACTTAGAGATACATGCACTTATATGCTAATTTGCATAGGTACATATACTATTTGTACACATACTTATACACTTATATGCTTATTTACATATGTACAAATAATAACCCACTTATATGCTCATTTACATACACATAGCACACATTCATATATAATATCAAACAGGAAAATAACTCGTTGCCTCTGTTGAACCTTAGATAAGCAGGTAATATCACCTGACATTACTTCAGTGTTTCTAACCTTTGTTGTCTGTATTGACTCTAGATCATCATCATTATCATCAAGTCCTTGCCGACTAGTGGGCGATCATGCCTCTGCACAATCTGCGATCTGCAGTTCATGTGTTGACAACTGTCCATGCCATGGCAAAAGGCTGTCAAGAATCTTCTTGCGCTGTCTTCCTCTGTCTCTCCTTCCACAGATCTTTCCTGTGATCACAACATGTTCCATTTTCCTTCTTCTTATAAAATGAGATGTTTGTAATAAATAAGTGGTCTCTGAGTGCTTGCCTCTTTTAAAACATCTAGGTTGCTCTTCCTAGCTGTCCAAGAAATTCTAAGGAATCTTCTGTAAAACCACATCTCTGAGTGCTTGCCTCTTTCAAAACATCTAGGTTGCTCTTCCTAGCTGTCCAAGAAATTCTAAGGAATCTTCTGTAAAACCACATCTCTGAGGCCTCATGATATTGTTCGGCTTGTTTATTAATTGTCCATGATTCACAGCCGTACGTTAAAACTGGCCTAAATATAATATAACGAGGAAATATCACCTGAGATGACATTACTTGAGTGTTTCTAACCTTTGTTTTCTCTATTAACCCTTGGATAAGCACGGGAAATCACTTGAGATGACATTACTTGAGTGTTTCTAACCTTTGTTTTCTCTGTTAACTCCTGGATAAGCACGGAATATCACCTGAGATGACATTACTTGAGTGTTTTCTAATCTTTGTTGCCTCTTTTTTCCCCTAATCTTTGTTGGGTGCTAAACTCACTTTGCTGTTCAATTGTACCAGAGATTAAAGGCATGATCGTCTATGCCAGTTGTAAAGGCACTAGATGATGATGATGGCAAAGGCGAGTGCGAAAGGTCCACACGGCTTTAAAATGTGAGACGAGTGTTTCTTGAGATTAGCGAGAGACAGCGGCTTTATGGGTATCGCAAGTCCAAGCATAACTAGCCGCTGATCTGATAGGACTTTAATAGCCAACACTATGTTATCAGTCTGGTAGTCTGGTAGTCTTAGTTTCAGCTTCATAGCAAACGGGTCGCCCCATCTTTGCTCCGCTCCTGTGCCAGCGAAAAACACTCAGAATGTCTATCACAGTCCCTTGTGGAAAGATTGACAGACTGCTGTCTCAGCATATCTAGCATACACTCGCATTAAAGCATATGGTAGCCATCCGAAGTGCTAACACAAACAGTCCGACATTAGAAATGCAGTTCATCATTGATGATAGCAGAACTTGTCGCCAACAGATCAGCAGTTGCCCGCGCGATCAATTTTAATATGGGCCCCGCCAGCATTGCACGACAGGCATCGCGCCATTTTCTGAATCTACAATTCACACCACCACGTTGGTCACAGTCGAAAATGCATTCCAAATGCAATCCGCAGCTCACAGGGTCACGCCATGCATTCAGCTCAGAAGCTGGGCAACGAAACTATATCCAGTCTACAAATGGAGTAAAAATGCATCGGCCACCGTCCGGCAGAAGCAAAAAATTTGCCTCTGCTCCGAACAGCGCCGCTGTCTAAAGTCCATTTTAACCGGAAGGCTATGTTATCAGTGCCAAATGTTGGCACTTACATTCTCTAATGAACATAGAATTCTGACAACAGAGATGAAATGCCTCAGGAGAGCTGCGGGAGTTTCAAGGAAAGACAGAATATGAAATCACAAAATTAGATGTATGCTAGGAATAAAGCCAGTCCTACACGTCATCACAGAACAACAAATGAAGTGGTTTGGACACCTAACAAGAATGCTCTGGTTCTATTTCAATCTCAATAGTGCTCGACAGAGCTCATCCACACGCATTACATCTCCCCCCGCCAACACTTTACTGAGGTATAAGTTGGAAGAGAAGAAGAAGAATAAGACTGTGTTTAATTTCATTGCATTTTTCATTTAGCCAATCTTCTTTTGCCTTCACACACTTATGATTTATTTCTTTATTTATCTTGTCATATTCTTCTTTGTCATTGATACATTGTTTTCTATCACTCATAAACTTTAAAATGTCTTCGGTCATCCATTTCTGTTTGCTCTAACTAGCTAACTAAACTAACTAATTCTTTAGTCATCTCTTAAATGATGCATGTATGGGCTACATTGTTGGCACCCTCCACTTCCTTCGTCGGCTCCAGTTACACATCGGAAGTTTATTACCTGATAAATGCTAACCTGTACTTTTACAGAGGTTTATACACAGAATCAAGGATTTAAATGTTGTAGGGTGTTTTTTGGCAGTTGAATATTCGTACACTAACACTGTCAAAGTTGACAGCTGTACAAACCAAGAGCTGACAGTTTGCTTGATCCCTCTCAGATGTTCAAGCCTTTGATGTTGCAGTGTCTTCCGTCACATGATCCCTGTGTGATATTCATGATGCTGTTCTTGCAGGTGACAACTGAGTTTGTGTGCTTAAATTATGTGATTGTTATTGTTATTTATTGTCTGTTATTGTTATCTGACAGTCTCTTATTGTTATCTGACAGTCTGTTATTGTTATCTGACAGTCTGTTACTGTTATGGGATTCTTTTTTTAATGTAATAGTTTGTGCTATGTGTTGGTCTATTATTGTTAATGATTGCTTGTTATGTGATTGCTTGTTATTGTTCTGCGATTGTTATTATAGTGCAGTTGACTGTTATTATGTCATTGTCTGTTAATGTTATGTTATTGTTATTTTTGAATAATTGGCTGTTATTCTTATGTTTTTATTACTGTTATAAGTATGTTATATTTATATAGTTGCCCGTTATTCTCACGTGATTTTTATTGTTACACCGTTGTTATATGTTTGTTTTTGTCTTGTGAGTGCCTGTTATTGTTATGTGATTGCCTGTTATTGTTATGTGATTGTCTGTTTTGATTTTTTTATTGTCTTTTATTGCTCTTTGATTGTTATTGTTATATGATTGGTATGAAATTAATTGTTTTTGTTTTCTTTTTAATTATTGTTGTATCATTTTTATGTTATTGTTATGGCATCTGTTATTGCTGTATGATTGTCTGTTATTTTGTGATTAATTATTATTTGTATCTTATTGTCTGATTGCTAGATGATTATTTTGGTTGTGTGATTGTTATATTTATTTGATTTGTGTGTTATTATTATTGATCAGTTGTTAAGTCATGTGATTGTCTGTTACTTTTATGTTATTATTGTGTGATTCTTTTTTTAATGTATCTGTTATTATTGTGGTATCTTTGTCTGTTATTGTTATATGGTGGTTATTGTTCTGTTGTTGTTATTGTTTTGTGGTTGTATTTGTTATGTGATGTAAAAAAAAAAAGGACTTAAAAAAAACTGGAATTATAATATTTGTTGTTTCCTGTGTGGGTTCTGGGGCACCATTGTGGAGAAGACAAGAATAGACCAACGGCCTGCCTAAAAAGAGCGTGTCAGAAGAGTCGATTAATTGGGAGCTTCCTTAAAAGTCAGAATGCATCTCTCCGTGCGGCAAGAAAAAACCAGTCACACACAAAAAGTAAGTAAAATGGATGTGCCCGCAAAACTCAGGCCCTGGCACAAAAGTCAGAGTGGACGAACAACCAGGACTTTCTGCCGTAGCTCACAGCTGGTGAATGAATAAGAAGAAGAAGAAAGATGTATTTTGTGACCTGTGATATTTCAACGGCTAGCATACTGATAACCATAATAGGCACTAGGAACTGGCACTTCACAGCCTGAAGATAAATCAGACACATCCGGGAAGGCTAACCGAGTGAACAAATGCCAGATGAATTCACACATGTCAGCAGAAAAGTGAAAATATCACAGCTATGCTGTAAACATTCACAGTGCAGTTACGTTACTTGGACAATGAAGTAGAAGAAGAAGAAGGTTTAGACAAACTCCTCAAACTTCTCTACATTGCAGGTTTCCTTTTTATCATGACTGCATCTGCCAGTTTGGTCTCTATGTGTAAAAGGTAAGTGACTTTGAATAAAATAAAACAGTCATGTCATGCTGTCAAATCTGGCAGTTAATGATTGAATACAATGACAATTTCAGAAAGAGTTTCAGAGGGAGATCCTGACCCGCAGTGAGGAACAGCTGTTACTGAGGAGGGTAGTTGATGTGGCAAATCATCCTAGAACTAAATCCTATGCTCGACTGTTGCTGCTGGAGTGCTTGTTGTCATATTTACAAGAGGTTGGTAGAGTGGCTGTTGTTGTCAGTGTGGACAGTATTTGCCTTGGTTGTAATGCTTGTTGTCATATTTACAAGAGGTTGGTAGAGTGGCTGTTGTTGTCAGTGTGGACGGTATTTGCCTTGGTTGTAGTGCTGGTAGAAAAATGAGAGGCTAAAGATAATCCTATAGTAAATAATGCCTCTCTTCTGACATATTTTAGGTCTTGGTGGTATAATCAAGTAGTTTAACCTCTTCCATTTGGGTTTTGTTAAACCAGATGTTTTTTCTTGGTGGTACTTTTGATGTACAGCAGTAAGGCATGGAGTCCCATGTTCAACCTCTAGATGCTCACCTGTGGGCCTGAAGGCTGTGAGTTATAATCTGCACTGAGTTGGATTTTATTTCTGTCAAAAGTGACCTTGGCTGCTAGGTTGACCCAGCCTAAAATGAGTGCCAGGTAAAGTCCTGGGAACTAAAGCTGGCCAGCACCAAATCTGGAAAAATCATCTATAAATTTGGCTGTCTTCAGAAAATTATCAGCATTGTGCAATGGTTCCATGAAGGTATGCAGGCAGCCGAAGTGCTGGGGAAGGCCCTGTCTCAAATAGGGCAAGGCACAAATGTGTGCTTGTACCAATCCTGCTCAATATGACATTGGCTGCACTGCCTGTCAATGCCTTTGATGATGATGATCCAGGAGTTGCTCTAAATTACTGTATAGATGGCAGTCTGTTTATTTTGTGCTAAAACAAAAAATTAAAAAACAAGTAAAATTAAGGACCTTTTATTTGCTGACAACTGTGCTCTAAACTCCAGCTCTGAGGCCAGTATGCAGCACATCATTAAAAGATTCTCTGAAGTCTGTACTAACTTCAGCTAACTGTCAACACTGATAAAAATTGTGTTGTCTATCAAACGGCTCTCATGAAAAACTACTGTGATCCCACTATCACCGTAAATGATCAAAAGCTAAATGTAGTTGACAGATTCACTTATCTTGGCAGCGCCCTATCTCAGAAAGTCAACATTGACAACGAGATAAATGCTAGAATCTCAAAGGCCAGCAGCATCTTCGGCAGACTTTATACCATCATCTAGAACAGAAGCGATGTCTCCCTGCTGACCAAGCTAAAGGTTTACAGAGCTGTAAATCTTCCAGTACTGCTCTACGCTTGCGAAACGAGGACTGTGTATCAGCGCAATGCTAAAAAGTTTAATCACTTTCAAATAACTTGTCTTAGAAAGCTGCTTAAAATCAGACAGCAAGACAGGATCCCAAATACTGTGGTCCTTGTCAGGGCTAACCTACCTAGCATCCACACAATACTGAAGAATCATCAGCTGCGTTGTGCTGGTCATCTAACCGGCATGCCAGAATATCACCTCCCAAAAAGAGTATCTTATGGCGATCTCCAGCAAGGGAAGAGGTCCCAAGGAGGACCTTAAAAAAAGGCGCTATAGGGACACTCTCAAAACTGATGTCAATTCTTGTGGCATCAACACAGCGACGTGGGAGGCTGCTGCACAGGATTGTTCTGGAATGCATACCTACCTCAGGCATGTTGCATCAACGTGCCAGGCAGTGGGTGGACAGGCAGACTAGAAAAAACTGTCTCGCTAATTCCACACCTATTTCGGCTTCCACCTGTTGTCTGCATGGCTCAAGAACTTTCCATGCTCATATTTGACTAATCAGCTACTTTCATACTCAAAATCATTGATCATTACTAATTTGGATGAAAAGTGGTCTTCTTCACTCTTGATGGACGAACAACAACCCAGAGACTAGCTTGGTCTACATATCCCTGTGTGAGGAAGGATGTGCCAAGATTAATGTTGATGTTTGTGCAAAAAAAAAAAAGCAAACAAAATGTAAAACTGGACATTAATACATTTGAGTTTTGTTGATTCCACAGACAGGATTAATGTCCAGTCTGACACAGCTGAAGAATGCTTTATGTCCTGTTGTCTTTGACCCTCTGGAAGTCCACACTCGCAAGGTATCTCTGCTTGCTTATAGTCCAGACTCCGGCCCCAGGGAGGGTAAGTGCTAAATGATTCTGTCATTGAAAGCTTGTCTGTGTGTGGCATTGGACCAGGTCTTGTCCATGTGTCGCATGGGACCAGGTCTTGTCTGTGTGTTACATGGGCCCAGGTCTTGTCTGTGTGTGGCATTGGACCAGGTCTTGTCTGTGTGTTACATGGGACCGGGTCTTGTCTGTGTGTTGTATGGGACCAGGTCTAGTCTGTGTGTGGCATTGGACCAGGTCTTGTCTGTGTGTTTCATGGGACCAGGTCTAGTCTGTGTGTGGCATTGAACCAGGTCTTGTCTGTGTGTTTCATGGGCCCAGGTCTTGTCTGTGTGTGGCATTGAACCAGGTCTTGTCTGTGTGTGGCATTGGACCAGGTCTTGTCTGTGTGTTACATGGGACCAGGGCTTGTCTGTGTGTTACATGGGACCAGGTCTTGTTTGTGTGTTACATGGGACCAGGTCTTGTCTGTGTGTTACATGGGACCAAGTCTTGCCTGTGTGTTACATGGGACCAAGTCTTGTCTGTGTGTTACATGGGACCAGGTCTTGTCCATGTGTTACATGGGACCAGGTCTTGTATGTGTGTTACATAGGACCAGGTCTAGTCTGTGTGTGACATTGGACCAGGTCTTGTCTGTGTGTTACATGGGACCAGGTCTTGTCTGTGTGTTACATGGGACCAGGTCTTGTCTGTGTGTGGCATTGGACCAGGTCTTGTCTGTGTGTTACATGGGACCAGGTCTTGTCTGTGTGTCACATGGGACCAGGTCTTGTCTGTGTGTTACATGGGACCAGGTCTTGTCTGTTTGTTACATGGGACCAGGTCTTGTCTGTGTGTCACATGGGACCAGGTCTTGTCTGTGTGTGGCATTGGACCAGGTCTTGTCTGTGTGTGGCATTGGACCAGGTCTTGTCTGTGTGTTACATGGGACCAGGTCTTGTCTGTGTGTCACATGGGACCAGGTCTTGTCTGTGTGTTACATGGGACCAGGTCTTGTCTGTTTGTTACATGGGACCAGGTCTTGTCTGTGTGTCACATGGGACCAGGTCTTGTCTGTGTGTGACATTGGACCAGGTCTTGTCTGTGTGTTACATGGGACCAGGTCTTGTCTGTGTGTTACATGGGACCAGGTCTTGTCTGTGTGTTACATGGGACCAGGTCTTGTCTGTGTGTCACATGGGACCAGGTCTTGTCTATGTTACTTAGACTATATGATTGGGCGATGAACAATTTGTGCTGATCAGAACTGGTCATGAGGAAATCAATGAGTAAATGACACTTTATTTTTCAAGCGTGACAAATTGGGCATATAGGCCCAACTTATATAAATGTGCCTGCACATGTACACACACACTCGCAATCACACACACACACTCGCACTCACACACACTCGCACTCACACACACAATTATACCCACAGACATACACATTAATTTATATCAATACATACATACATAAACACATATATACATATTACTTTGAGACACACACACTGACTGATACATACACATATACACGGATGTTCATACATAAAAACAAACATATGTCAACAGACACAAAAATTTACACACTCATACATACACTCACACACACTCAAAGTAAAACAGTCTGAAAAGCCCAGATGTAGAACATTCTAGATGATTCCTACTTTCTCTGTAGACTTATCCCAGGACCTACATTACCTGACTCAAGTGGCGGTGACAACAGGAGGTATGAGAGTGGCAACAGCTCTCTATCATGTCCTCTATCTCCATGTGGAGTCTAACAGTTGTGCTGCTGTACACAACCATGTCCTGAGGTGAGTCTTGCAACGTCATCAGTTGGATCTCTTTTGTAGCATGTAACTCCTCTCAGAGCTCAGTGAAAAGACTACTGATACTTTCCCAGTCTATAGTCTCATGTTTGATCCTTTGCCAGTCTACTGCCTCATGTTTGATCCTTTGCCAGTCTACTGTCGAATGTTTGATCGTTTCCCATTCTACTGCCTCATGTTTGATCCTTTGTCAGTCTACTGTCGAATGTTTGATCCTTTCCCATTTTCCTGCCTCATGTTTGATCCTTTGCCAGTCTACTGTCGAATGTTTGATCGTTTCCCATTCTACTGCCTCATGTTTGATCCTTTGCCAGTCTACTGTCGAATGTTTGATCGTTTCCCATTCTACTGCCTCATGTTTGATCCTTTGCCAGTCTACTGTCGAATGTTTGATCGTTTCCCATTCTACTGCCTCATGTTTGATCCTTTCCCGGTCCACAGTATCATGTTTGATCGTTTCCCATTCTACTGTCTCATGTTTGATCCTTTCCCGGTCCACAGTATCATGTTTGATCGTTTCCCATTCTACTGCCTCATGTTTGATCCTTTCCCGGTCCACAGTATCATGTTTGATCGTTTCCCATTCTACTGCCTCATGTTTGATCCTTTCCCGGTCCACAGTATCATGTTTGATCGTTTCCCATTCTACTGTCTCATGTTTGATCCTTTCCCGGTCCACAGTATCATGTTTGATCGTTTCCCATTCTACTGTCTCATGTTTGATCCTTTCCCGGTCCACAGTATCATGTTTGATCGTTTCCCATTCTACTGCCTCATGTTTGATCCTTTCCCGGTCCACAGTATCATGTTTGATCGTTTCCCATTCTACTGCCTCATGTTTGATCCTTTCCCATTCTACTGCCTCATGTTTGATCCTTTTCCAGTCTACTGCCTCACCCGTGTTTGTTACCCAAATTATCTTTAATATCCTGTATCTGCTCTTGTCTTGGCCAGCTGGCACATGCCTTGTTTTCCAGGAACCAAGCCCTCTGTTACTGTACACTCTAAACCGCTGTGGCATTAATCTCATATTGATCTTTTTGTACCTTGTGATGTTGAGGTGCATATTTGAAGGAAAGTGCCTGTTTGTGCGCTTTGTAAATGGTGATTCCTAGGGATTCTTCTTGGCTTCCCGCCTGGTCGGTACATTATTGCTTGCAGTGGTTTACTGTTTGTTGGCATCTGCGTTACATGGCCAAACAAATTTACTTTTTATTTTCTAATGAAATCCAGAGCTGCCTCTACCCCTATTTACATCCAGTTTTCGTTGTTCCTAATGTGGCGAAAATATTTTACATCCAGTTTTCATTGTTCCTAATGTGGCATTTAATGTGGCAAAAGTATTTTACATCCAGTTTTTGTTGTTCCTAATGTGGCATATAATGTGGTGAAAGTATTTTACATCCAGTTTTCATTGTTCCTAATGTGGCCTTTAATGTGGCGAAAGTATTTTACATCCAGTTTTTATTGTTCCTAATGTGGCATTTAATGTGGCGAAAGTATTTTACATCCAGTTTTTGTTGTTCCTAATGTGGCATATAATGTGGTGAAAGTATTTTACATCCAGTTTTCGTTGTTCCTTATGTGGCCTTTAATGTGGCAAAAGTATTTTACATCCAGTTTTCTTTGTTCCTAATGTGGCTTTTAATGTGGTGAAAGTAATTTACATCCAGTTTTCGTTGTTCCTTATGCGGCCGTTAATGTGGCGAAAGTATTTTACATCCAGTTTTCGTTGTTCCTAATGTGGCATTTAATGCGGCGAAAGTATTTTACATCCAGTTTTCGTTGTTCCCAATGTGTCCTTCAATGTGGTGAAAGTATTTTACATCCAGTTTTCATTGTTCCTAATGTGGCATTTAATGCGGCGAAAGTATTTTACATCCAGTTTTTGTTGTTCCTAATGTGGCTTTTAATGTGGCGAAAGTATTTTAGTTTTCGTATATTTATCATGGGCCAATTATTTTAAAAATTCAGATTTGATACTTATAGGGAATAATTTCCACAGAACTGTAGTGAAGTTGAAACCTCAAACACTGCCGCTGCCACTACTTCTGCTGCTGCTGCTGCTACTACTGCTGTTGCTACTGCTACTACTACAACTACTGCTGCTGCTGTCGAGTATTAGTATTTCTGTTTTGGCAAGAGACATTGTTTGTTGGATTGATTGTAGCCAAACATTCATTGTGGGGATGTCAGTGGAATAATTGTAGCGCAACATTCATTGTGGGGATTGCAGTGAATTCATTGTAGCTCAGCATTCATTGTGGGGATTACAGTGAATTCATTGTAGCTCAACATTCATTGTGGGAGATTGCAGTGAATTCATTGTAGCTCAACATTCATTGTGGGGATTACAGTGAATTCATTGTAGCTCAACATTCATTGTGGGAGATTGCAGTGAATTCATTGTAGCTCAGCATTCATTGTGGGGATTACAGTGAATTCATTGTAGCTCAACATTTATTGTAGGGATTACAGTGAATTCATTGTAGCTCAACATTTATTGTAGGGATTACAGTGAATTCATTGTAGCTCAGCATTCTTTGTTGGGATTGCAGTGAATTCATTGTAGCTCAACATTTATTGAGGGGATTGCAGAGGTTTGATTATAGCTCAGCATTCATTGTGGGGATTACAGTGGTGTGATTTTAACAGCATTCATTGTGGGGATTACAGTGGTGTGATTATAACTCAGCATTCATTGTGGGGATTACAGTGGTGTGATTATAACACAGCATTCATTGTGGGGATTGCAGTGGTGTGATTATAACTCAGCATTCATTGTGGGGATTACAATGGTGTGATTATAACTCAGCATTCATTGTGGGGATTGCAGTTGTTTGATTAAAGCTCAGCATTAATTGAGGGGATTGCAGTTGTTTGATTATAGCTTAACATTCTTTGTGGGGAGTGCAGTTGTTTGATTATAGCTTAACATTCTTTGTGGGGATTGCAGTGAATTGTTTTATTTATTTGGATGGCAGTGGATTGATTTGATACTTATTTGACCATGCCTTGTATATTATGTTTCACATATCATATCTGGACATTATTTGTGTATCATGTTGGAAATATCTTGTTCATCCTGTAAGGACATGTATTGAATATGACTTCTGGAAATATCTTGTACATTATGTAGGGACATGCCTCGAGTACTGCACTGGACATGTATATTACATCTAGACATATCTTAGTATATCTTATAGAAGGTAGATTGTAGGTCCTAATTGTGACATATTGAAGCAATGTTTAATTTTCTCAATATGCCCTAAGTGGGTACCAGGTAAAGACCTGGGGCATAAAGGCAACCGGCCTTATCTTGACCACATCACCCACCGAGTGGAAAAGTGACTTTTTTTTTTTTTGCTTTTGTGTGTGGGAAATTATGACTTCTGTATTTAAGGCATACAGTTGCATGATTTTTGAAATGTTTTTTTTTTCCAGAATCACACGCAAATTGTTCCAAAGTTTTCCACATCTCATACCATTGATTGTAGACTTTCTGCGAGCTGTCAAAACAAGCCAGCCACATTCGTAAGTGTGATACATGTGTCCTCAACAACTATTGTACTGATTAACTCTTTGAGTCCCAGGGGTTTTCACATCACAGGCCCAGGGGGTAGCAAAGAGAGTCATAAAATCAGCGCATCTTGCGTTCATTAGGCTTTTAGGTAGGAAACTATGAACGTATGATGCGTTTCTTGGGACTCGAAGAGTTAAAGAGAAAAAGTAATGAAAAATTTCTAAGTTTTTAAAATGCCTTTCTGTGTGGTGCTGACCACATCTTCCAGAGAGTGCTGATTGGCCTTCATAAATATTAGTCTAGTATCATATGTTTGACACATAGTGCGATCACAGTGTCATGAAATGAAAACAGGATAATCCACTTATATTTTGAGCTGAAAACAGGACTTTCCACTTATATTTAGAATTGAAAAACAGGACATTTCACTAATATTTTGAGCTGAAAACAGGACATTCCACTTATATTTAGAATTGAAAAACAGGACATTCCACTAATATTTTGAATTGAAAAACAGGACATTCCACTAATGTTTTGAGCTGAAAATGGGTTATTCCAGTAATATTGATCTGAAAATGGGACATTCCACTAATATTTTGAACTGAAAACAGTAAATTCCACTTATATTTTGAGCAGAAAAAAAGTCTTCCTAAGCAAGTCACTTTTACCTCTTCACCCCCTCCACCCTTTCCACCAAGAAATCAATAAACCAGTATGCTCCTCAGTTGCAGTGGGAAAAAACAAAAGCCAAAGCAATTACACCCTTCAATGGAAATTCTCATCAACACATTCCAGACATTTAAATTATCTAAAAAGATGAGGACAGAGCACTTACAAGAATGTCCTGAGTGCTGTAATGTCGGTTTTTAATCAGCTCAGTTCAACTCAACTTTTTATTTTTATTTTCTCCTTTTGCCACTCCCTCATCTGTTCTGAAACAGGTTTGTTGTATATGCATATAAATATGTGTGTGTGTTGTGTGTGCACACGCCAGTGTGTGGGTGGGTGAATGGGTATAAGTAGTGGTGGTGGGAAGGGTGGAGGAGGAGTCATTTGATTATGTGTCTGTGTGTACCTGTGTATTTGATTACATGTAGGCATGCATGAATCGCTAATTAAGTACCATATATAGGTAGGTCATCTAATGTATAACTGGCTTGTTCAGATACAATGAAATAATACCTAAACGTTGTTGGAAGTAACACTTTGATGGAATACCTGTAATATTCCTATCAACACTGCCTGTCAACACTGCCTATCAACACTGCCTATCAACACTGCCTATCAACACTGCCTATCAACACTGCCTATCAACACTGCCTGTGAACACAGCAAATGGTGCCATGTTTGTTGACAGTTGTATGTGATGAGAATCTCTGTCGTGGCTTCGCGTAGAATCACTTACATGCATTGAGGCAAAAATATTGCTTTATGTTTCTCTTTTCCTATGCTTGTTTGAAGACTTGTTCAGGCTGGTTTTGGTGGCGGTAAGCGACTGCTACCGCAGCGAAAATGCAACACCGATAAAATCGAATCTCACCAGTACCTGTTGAATAATCACCTTCGTCTCGTTCATACATGTCCGATTAATAATAGCAGGAGATACTGGGGTCCTGGTGTCCTGACCCAGGTTGGCCCACCTATCTAGATTGTTTAGGATGATGACAGGCTGAAGCAGTTGTCAGTGGAGGATCTTCTACTGATGACCTGTAGATTCCTGCTCTGTAAGCTCCCCTGTGGAGTTTCCTTAATATTATGGCTCCGGTTCTTTCTAGGATAAGAGCCGTGTCCTCATCAACCATCCCTAGACATCTCTCAGATATACATGAAATATTTCCTGCCTTTGCTTGTCAGGAACACAATGGATGGTTTAGAATATCACATGTTGGTCAGTTGAGGGAGGAGAAGACCAGCAACCTCGTCTCACAGAGCAGTGGTCGATTGTTAGCATTCCACACCACAGTCATGCATCTTTTCTCTTACATTTCCAACAGTTTCCATACAAAAAATATGTTTTCTCATTTAGCTTTTTTGGTAGCAAACATTGTACTTTTAACTTCATGTATCTCAAGCCTACTTAAGCTTCAAAGCAGAAAATACTGATGTTATTCGTTGAACCCTTTAGTCCCAGAAACAAACACTCACAAAATAGTCATAACCTGTTGGGGAAACTTGACCTCAACTTGACTTAAAATAACGATTGAGCTAATTCCCCCACCCCTGAAATGCTATTGCTACTTGAGATATTCATATCCTGACCTACTAAATGCTAGCACCAGCACAAAAATGGCCAATAGCATTAACAATGCATATTGTAAACGGATCACTAAAGACAAGTCAGAAAAATGACCTTTACGGGGAACTGGACCTAACCAGAAGTGTCTGTTTTCAACCTCTTGAAGCAAAAGGGTTAACAGAGATATTAGGGACAGAAATTGTTAGACTAGTAGTTCAGATACAAAGGGTTAATATTGCATCTGTCTGTCATAGAAGGCAGCAAGGACATCTTTGGGACCAGTTAAAAACAGATGGTGAGTATCTTGCTAGTGAAAGAGTGAAACATTCCACAGAATAAACCACTATTCAGAAATTACATGAAATAGAAGTAGTCACTGAGTAGCCAGATTTCTATAGTATGATGTGACCAAATGTTGACAGTCAGATGCATGACAAGATGTTTGGGACACATAGGTTAGAGTTTGTCCCATTGCACAGACATCTTCTGGGACTAAGAGAAGTCAGTTGATTGACCTGAGACTGGTCAGTGATGCTCTTGCATTGAACAGTTGTCCTTGTCTTGCAGAAAGTTTCACAGTGAGATTCTAACACTTCTGCATGAGACAGTCTTGGCACTGCCAGTCAGTCAGTTGTTAAACAACTACCAGAACTATCTGCATGTGTGGATTCTGTCAGCTCAGGAGACGTACATACTGCAGCAGGTAAGTGGACCACTCTTGCTGGTATCTCGTCACCATTGAGATAGTTGCTGGCCTGTTGTTAAAAAAATCAGAAATGCTACCCTCAGTAGAATATCAGTTTGTGTGCAGTAAAGATATCCTGAGTCTACCTACACAATAATCTGTTGTTAAATGTGGTGAATGAAGGGTGTTAGTTATAAAAAACAGGTGTGTCAAGTTGAATTGATTGTCTCTGTTGCAGAGGATATTAATATATATACATATAGCTTGGCCTTTCTCACTCATCTAATCTAAGAGGCCTATTTTATCACTTTCTACCACTACTGTATCTACTGTACCGGCCGTGGAAAGATTTATGGTCAGATTCAGCTACTTTTGCTTTTGATGTTTATGAAGGGTTCCATAACAGACAGGAGATGCTTATGGCAGCACTTGATCTTGAGGATTTTCAAAAGAGTCCGATATGATATTTTGATATCTGCACTCATGGAGAAGGGGGCTTGTCCCTGGCTTGTGAACTGGATAGCAGCTGTGCTGCATTCATGTATGGTTGCCCTTCTCCTGGGTACATAGACCTCAGAACCATGTACCATGCCCCAGGACTACCCCAGGGTTCTGCAATTTCACCAGTGCTCTTTAATGTGTATACAAGCAAGATTGCAGAACTTGCAGCACGAGGTGTGAAAAGGATATTGACATTTGCCGATGATGTTCTTGCATCTCTGGTCTAATCTTGTTGCTTATTCTTCTCATAATTATTCTTAGTAGCATTTTTATCACATGACTCATAAGCCTTATTGTGCAATGATCTTCACATTTTAAAGTACCTAGTTTTTTTGCTATAGCAACTAATATAGATCGTTAGAAATGTATCTGCTATTATGAATGTCATTTAGCAATTTTGTTTTAAATTTCCATTCAAAAATATCCCAGAGATTTCAATTTCTTACAAAGCGATATTGTCTGGCCCAGGGGCCTTTCCTTTCTTCAAGTGATGCAATGCATCTGCAACTACTGCAGCCAGTATTGGTGGGCTTTCACTGTTGTTCTGCAAAGATAATTCTGGTCTATTATCATCATGCAGCTTCCTCCAATTACTCTGTCCATGTTTTGGTCATACAACGCTGCCCTATTAATCTGTCACCTTCTTTCAATTTTAAACACCCAGTGATGTAACATCTCTTCTTCCCTGTTATTATACCTATCTGTTGGTGCACGGCATGTGAGTCTTTCCCTGTATTTTTCCTAGTCTCTGTGCACATCTGATTTAGCCAGGTTTCTTTAGCCTCTTTGCATTTGTTTGCTATTTCTGTATGTATACTTTAATGTTCTTCTTTACCATTCTTTTTTCTTTCTTCTCTCATCCATCATCTGCAGAGTTTCATTTGTCAGCCATTTAAACAATAAATTTGAAGTTACAATAATTATGGACAATTTAAATGCAAAAGTTGAAGTGAAAAAGTGTGTGGAGTAACTGTTGGCTATGAGATGAGGGGGTTTGTATAAACCAGGGGTTACAAATGATCTAGTTATGGGACTCAGCCCAAGCTGTAAATCTTTCACTTCTCTCATTCTTTCCTCCTACGCCATAGCTACTAGTTACTCCACACACTTTTTCACTTCAACTTTTGCAGTGAAATCACCCATTATTATTGTAAATTCAGAATTATTGCACTGATCAAAAGAAATTGACATTAGATGCAGTAAAGCAAACCAAGTATTGGGACAGCTAGCCCCCCTCTTACAGCATAAGACAATCCCAATCAGCACAAAGAGACATCTTATTCAAAGCATATTTATTCCAACTCTGTGCTACCAGTGCAAGACATGGTCACTCACAACAAACCATAAAAGAAAATTAGTAACCACGGAAATGAGATGTCTGAGAAGGGCTGTAGGAGTGACCATAAGAGATAAGATCAGGAATGAGATCATAAGAGAACAAGTCGGCACAGAACCAATTCTGGATTACATACAAAGACAGCAAGTGAAATGGTTTGCCCACTTAGAGAGAATGCCTTGTGACACCATACCGTACATAGCTTACATGGAAAGAGAAGAAGGACGTAGAGCACTGGGTAGACCAAGAACAAGATGGAAGGATAACATCAGAGAAACTCTACAACAGCACGATGTGCCTATTGTCGAGGCGGCTATAAGAGCTAGAAACAGAACCTTATATCTCCCTTGACACCCACAGCGGTAAAAGAGGAAGTGAAGAAGAAGAAGAAGATCAAAAGCCATGTTTAAATCATGACAAAATTCATCAGTGTCATCTTCTGATGCTTCTGCAGTTGGTGCACACACCTGTACTAGGTTTATATCAAGTGGTTTGATTTAGATCTTTACTAAAAGCACCTAGTCTGAAATAGTCCAAAATCCTTGAACAGTTTTTGCACATTGTGAGTCCAGAACAATACCAACAAAATTTTTATCATCTCTCCCACCTGAGTCAATGATTTTGTGTTTATCCAAATCTTTTCCACCTGCTCCTGGCCAACACATTTCACTAATTCCTAATATTTTGGTATTCATTCTCTCCATTTCCCTCTTGATGTTGTCCAACGTTCTGGTTTGTACAAGTGTTCTGACATTCCACGCACCAATGGTTAGGATGTTACTGACCTTTACTTACACTACAGTGGCTGGATGATGGTCATGGATCACCTGTTGTAACTATCCATACCACTGCAGCCTTTAATATTGGGCAAACTGTTTCCGTTCCTGACGCACGTCACTGTTTAATAGTTAGTTGTCTTAAATTGTCAGGTCTGGTATAATCCCAGTATTCTGAGTTTTCCTGACTGCAATATGTATGTTACATATGTTGACAGAAGCCTCTGCGAAGAATGCTGGAGATAGTGCAGGAGGCGGTCACCAAAGCTTTAGATAACTGGGACCTGGGCTGCCTGATCCTTAGTATCTGCCGGATTATGATCCTACATCATCACACAGACATCCTGTACTCTCGTAGGTTTTGATTATCTAGTAAATGTTTGGTACGATTTCATCAGATTAACATCATTAGCTCTTGAAATTGTTGCATATTAGTATCTGTAACGCTGTAACCAGTGATTACTGATTGAAGCATCCATCCATATCGTAGACTTTGGGCACACCCACAGACACTCTGTCTCCCCCAGGGCATGTCTTCAGGTGTAGATGCTGCTGTGAAAGCTTTTAGCTATCTAATTATTCATTGGACTGGAACATAACATCCACTGAGAGATATCACATGCTGTAGCTATTGTTATCACTCTATCAAAGTTACTAGTTTGAAAGACAGGCCAATGAATTGTGTTCAAGAGTATGTTGGTAGGTAAAGTCAGGCCATTTTGGTTCATTTTTGTTGCTGGTAAAATAAACCAGTGGAACTAATATTGGCCAGACGTTAGCTAGACCGTGTGTGCACTGCAGAATTATGACATAGTTACACATCTATCTACACATGTTGCAGTATCAGTCTTGTACATCCTGCTGGTTTCTCTGCTGGCAGAGGGGAAGAAAAGCCCAACAGCCCAGTCTCTGAGAAGATGGTACACAGTGCCAGGTTGGGAGGGAAGTCTGCACATCAAGTTCACTTCAGTGAATGCATTCTCTTTTAGGGTTTGGATGACCCTAATGCATATTACTGAAGAGTTAAAACTTAAAGTCTTCTAGAGGATTCTTCTTTACCTTGTTCTTCTTCGATAACTCTTAAAAGGTTTTTGGCACATTGTATTGTACTTTACATCTAGGCTGTGTTATCAGCACCTTTAGAACAAACACATTTGATTTCTGCAAACTTCTAATTAGTTGCTTCTTGCAAAATGCTTGTTTGATGGCAGTGGGTCTATTTTTGATTCTCAGAAAACTGGGGCTCTGAACCCACGAGGAAATTAGTGGATTCTCAACCAATCAGTGAGCCATGGCCTTATGATGATGTTTTGTAGAAAGTGGTTGAAGTTGTAACTGTCTTGTGTTGGCTGACTTTGATTCTATTGTGCTGTTGTCAGAAATGGGAGACTTGCTGTACTTGTTGATGAAGGAGTATGGAGACACTGACATCCGGGATACCTCCAGGCTCTACTACGCTCTCCTGACGCTCAACAGTGACTCCAAGGTGAGATAACTCAGCTTACAGTCAAACACTAAGATATCTTTCTTAGGAGATATAAAGAGGAAAGGATAATCCAGATACAGATGTTATAATCATTAACATCATCTTTTAAACTCTTTCAGTCCACACCAACATATAAATTGTTGGTTTTGCAAACATTATGGCTCGCTGTTCTCATTTCTTACATTTTGTTCAATGCGTAATTAAATAAATGTCACTACCTCAATGGCAGTTTCCATTTTCCTGACATACATTGAGGATATGTGACAGGCAGTAGTCTGGTTTAGAAGGATTGTTTACTGAAAAACATTTTCATTTTTATGTGAAACTCTGGGTCTGAAAGCTTTGAGGCTTTCAAATATCTGACAGCATCTTTCACTCACTATTTCTCTCTCCCACTGTCTCTTCCAATTTTTAAGTCTATTATTCTCTCTCTTTTCCTTTAACAACCTCTGTTACTCTTTTTCTATCTATTTATCCTGCAACCTTTATTACTGTTGCAAACTTGTATCTCTTGTCTTTCAGTCTTTATTATCTGTTCCTTTAAAACCTCTGTTTATCTTCCATTCTTCTCTCATAGCCTCTGTTACAATTTCTTCTCTCTGTTTGGATCTCTTTCTTATCTCTGTCTCTCTTATACACTTGCAGTATAAAGTGAGTCTTTGAAAGGGCCAGTTGTTACGATGGAAAAGCCTTCTCAATTTGAGACCCTTTGAAAACAAAGTTTGTTTCTTTCTCTCACAACCCTCATTTCTCTCACTTCTGTTTTCTGAATACCTCACTTAACATCATATACTCCTCTCACTTCTGTTTTCTGAATACCTCACTCAACATCATCTACTCCTTTCACTTCTGTTTTCTGAATACCTCACTCAACATCATATTCTCCTCTCACTTCTGTTTTCTGAATACCTCACTCAACATCATATACTCCTCTCACTTCTGTTTTCTGAATACCTCACTCAACATCATATACTCCTCTCACTTCTGTTTTCTGAATACCTCACTCAACATCATATACTCCTCTCACTTCTGTTTTCTGAATACCTCACTCAACATCATATACTCCTCTCACTTCTGTTTTCTGAATACCTCACTCAACATCATATACTCCTCTCACTTCTGTTTTATGAATACCTCACTCAACATCATATACTCCTCTCACTTCTGTTTTCTGAATACCTCACTCAACATCATATACTCCTCTCACTTCTGTTTTCTGAATACCTCACTCAACATCATATACTCCTCTCACTTCTGTTTTATGAATACCTCACTCAACATCATATACTCCTCTCACTTCTGTTTTATGAATCTCCCCCCCCCCCCTCCCCCGCCCCACCCACTCAACATCAGATACTCCTCTCTCTTCATTTGTGAGCCTATTAATGTAGTTTCTTCACTCATATTATCATTTCCCTTTTCCCCTTTTTTCGGTCTTTCATATTCTGTCTTGTACAGAAAGTAAACCTGCATGGTGAATTTAGTTGATTTCTTAAGAAGGCTGGCTGAACGTGGGAGATCTGGGTTAGATCTTCAGTATGGCATGGAGATTTTTCTGCTGGGTTAAAAAAAAAATATCCTTACCTGCACAGTTAACGGTGACTACACTAGCATTGTGACCTTAAATCCTCAGGCTAGTGACCCTCTTGTCCTACAGCACCCTAAAAGATACATACAGGCTAGTGACTTTCTTGTCCTACAGCACCCTAAAAGTGATACATACAGGCTACTGACCCTCTTGTCCTACAGCATCCTAAAAGTGATACATACAGGCTAGTGACTCTCTTGTCCTACAGCACCCTAAAAGTGATACATACAGGCTAGTGACCTTCTTGTCCTACAGCATCCTAAAAGTGATACATACAGGCTAGTGACCCTCATGTCCTACAGCACCCTAAAAGTGATACATACAGGCTAGTGACCCTCCTGTCCTACAGCACCCTAAAAGTGATACATACAGGCTAGTGACCTTCTTGTCCTACAGCACCCTAAAAGTGATACATACAGGCTAGTGACTCTCTTGTCCTACAGCACCCTAAAAGTGATACATACAGGCTAGTGACCCTCTTGTCCTACAGCACCCTAAAAGTGATACATACAGGCTAGTGACCCTCCTGTCCTACAGCACCCTAAAAGTGATACATACAGGCTAGTGACCTTCTTGTCCTACAGCACCCTAAAAGTGATACATACAGGCTAGTGACCCTCCTGTCCTACAGCACCCTAAAAGTGATACATACAGGCTAGTGACCCTCTTGTCCTAATGCACCCTAAAAGTGATACATACAGGCTAGTGACCTTCTTGTCCTACAGCACCCTAAAAGTGATACATACAGGCTAGTGACCCTCTTGTCCTACAGCACCCTAAAAGTGATACATACAGGCCAGTGACCCTCTTGTCCTACAGCACCCTAAAAGTGATACATACAGGCTAGTGACCCTCATGTCCTACAGCATCCTAAAAGTGATACATACAGGCTAGTGACCCTCTTGTCCTACAGCACCCTAAAAGTGATACATACAGGCTAGTGACCCTCATGTCCTACAGCATCCTAAAAGTGATACATACAGGCTAGTGACCCTCTTGTCCTACAGCACCCTAAAAGTGATACATACAGGCTAGTGACCCTCATGTCCTACAGCACCCTAAAAGTGACCCTCTTGAACTACATCACCCTAAAAGTGATACATACTGGCTAGTCACCTTACAGCACCCTAAAAGTGACCCTCATGTCCTACAGCACCCTAAAAGTGATACATACAGGCTAGTGACCTTCTTGTCCTACAGCATCCTAAAAGTGATACATACAGGCTAGTGACCCTCCTGTCCTACAGCACCCTAAAAGTGATACATACAGGCTAGTGACCCTCCTGTCCTACAGCACCCTAAAAGTGATACATACAGGCTAGTGACCTTCTTGTCCTACAGCACCCTAAAAGTGATACATACAGGCTAGTGACCCTCCTGTCCTACAGCACCCTAAAAGTGATACATACAGGCTAGTGACCTTCTTGTCCTACAGCACCCTAAAAGTGATACATACAGGCTTGTGACCCTCCTGTCCTACAGCACCTTAAAAGTGATACATACAGGCTAGTGACCCTCTTGTCCTAATGCACCCTAAAAGTGATACATACAGGCTAGTGACCTTCTTGTCCTACAGCACCCTAAAAGTGATACATACAGGCTAGTGACCCTCTTGTCCTACAGCACCCTAAAAGTGATACATACAGGCTAGTGACCCTCTTGTCCTACAGCACCCTAAAAGTGATACATACAGGCTAGTGACCCTCATGTCCTACAGCACCCTAAAAGTGATACATACAGGCTAGTGACCTTCTTGTCCTACAGCATCCTAAAAGTGATACATACAGGCTAGTGACCCTCCTGTCCTACAGCACCCTAAAAGTGATACATACAGGCTAGTGACCCTCCTGTCCTACAGCACCCTAAAAGTGATACATACAGGCTAGTGACCTTCTTGTCCTACAGCACCCTAAAAGTGATACATACAGGCTAGTGACCCTCCTGTCCTACAGCACCCTAAAAGTGATACATACAGGCTAGTGACCTTCTTGTCCTACAGCACCCTAAAAGTGATACATACAGGCTTGTGACCCTCCTGTCCTACAGCACCTTAAAAGTGATACATACAGGCTAGTGACCCTCTTGTCCTAATGCACCCTAAAAGTGATACATACAGGCTAGTGACCTTCTTGTCCTACAGCACCCTAAAAGTGATACATACAGGCTAGTGACCCTCTTGTCCTACAGCACCCTAAAAGTGATACATACAGGCTAGTGACCCTCTTGTCCTACAGCACCCTAAAAGTGATACATACAGGCTAGTGACCCTCATGTCCTACAGCATCCTAAAAGTGATACATACAGGCTAGTGACCCTCTTGTCCTACAGCACCCTAAAAGTGATACATACAGGCTAGTGACCCTCATGTCCTACAGCATCCTAAAAGTGATACATACAGGCTAGTGACCCTCTTGTCCTACAGCACCCTAAAAGTGATACATACAGGCTAGTGACCCTCATGTCCTACAGCACCCTAAAAGTGACCCTCTTGAACTACATCACCCTAAAAGTGATACATACAGGCTAGTCACCTTACAGCACCCTAAAAGTTATACATACAGGTCATAAAGACCTTTCAGTGTTATTTTATTTCTTGAACCCACAATATTTTGTCTGGACATGATGTCAGTATTGTATGCTGGTCCGTATTTACCCTAACAGGCAAAGGAAATACTGGGAGCTTCAGTGACAGAAAGCCTTCACCTTGGGGAAAATATTGCAGACTTTTTCCCAGGTAAAATCTTTTTACAGATGTTCACATTTTCAGCTTTTCCATGTTTTCTGTCCTTTTCTGAAGTTATTATCTGTCAAATTGTGACATAATTCTTAGAAATTATGGATTTCCTAAAGGAAATCCAAGGTAAACATTCACAAGATCCTGTTAACAGACTTAAAGAAAATAATATACAGCAGTTGTCCATCTAAGAACAGGTCACTGCAGGCTCAACTACCACATGCATAAAAGAAAGTGTGTGCAGTCCCCACAGTATGCATGTCAAATAACACCACAAACACTTGAGCACATTCTGCAGCCGTGCCAACTTACAGATATGAAGAGAAGCCTAGCTTCAAAAGCAAGTTGTACCGAGCGAGCTGTGGGCAACCATAGAGGAACTGCAGATGACATGCACATTCATAGAGGCAGCCCTCCTGAGGATCAACTAAATGCAGACAAGAAGAAGATAATAGGATTGATGTTTATGGAACTCAGTTTGCAATGTTGAAACAATTCTTTTGTTTAAAACAAAAACTGTGTCCAAAAGATGGATTACTTAGTAAGTGTGCAGTGAGTCAGTACTGATTAGGTTACTGACCTGATAAATGTCACTTCCTGGCACCCAGTAACAGGACTGACCAAAGGATACTTGTAAAGCAGAGACTTCTGGCCTGATAGGGAGAAGAGACATGGCAGAGTTTTTAGTTTTAAAGTTATTTTTGCTCGTTCCTCATATGGATGGAAGTCTACGGTTTCACTGCCTAAGCTACGGAGTTAGGTGCTAGGTGCAACACTGTGAGCTGTGTTTTTTTTTTGTGTGTGGGTGAAATGTCTTCAATTTGTGCAGCGGTTGTTTCATGGTATTCAGTATGGCGGGTAGCCAGTTTTCACATGTTGTGGCAAAATACCTTATGCAATAACATTTTGAGTGTGTATGTGGCCAGCTTAACCCTTTTAGCACGGGAAGTTTTTCAGAGGTCTAGCCAAAAACACGGAGCATTTTTTCAGTGAATTTGGTTATTACTTTATTTAATTTTTTTGACAGATTTCTGTTATTCTGACCCCTATGAAATAATATATCTATTTGAAGGATATAGATTGAAGTTCGTGATTTTCACAATATCGTTAAAATTAATTGATGTATATGCAAATGATCTCATTTGCATATCTAAAAATAGAAAATATGAATTTGAATTTTCAACTTCAATGCTTGAAACATAAAACTAAAAACAAAAATTTTTTTTATATGAAATCTTTTTATTGATCTTTGGCCTTTTTACAAATGTTGTAAGCAATTCAATAGTCAAAAACAGGTATATATATGTGAAACAGCAATAATATCTTTAGGTGACATGTGTTTTTCACCATCAGTCAGCACTAGAAATGGATGTGCCGGAGTGTCAACACCTTCGGGTGGATATACCCTAAGCCATGGTTGGGCTGTGGTCTGAACACAACAGCGTCCCTATCTGATTCCCACTATTACTACTAACACTAAATCCTGCATCAGTATCAACAGAATTAGTGTCATCACTTGATTCAAATGTTTTATCAACATCAAGTTTAGGGGCAGAAACATACGAGCCAGACATACTTTTAGCGGTTCAGGTCACTATCTAAAAAATTCAATAACAATTTTCACTTCGATACCAAACACTCGAAAGTCGCCATGTGTAAAGCTGATACCGCAGTTAATATAAATGAATCACTTTCAGTGTTTCAAAGTAGGAGATTTCTTAGCGGTTCGAGGCGAAACACGATCGGGCCGATCATCGGCCGTTCCGTGTTTTTGGCCAGACATCCGCCGGCCGATAATCGGCCCGTCCGTGCTAAGAGGGTTAAATTTATAATTACTGACTGCTTCCATCAATAACAAACATTTATTGCAAAACTAAAATTCAGTTGCTCAGAGCACTAGCTATTAGTACATATTTACATATGGCTGTGAAACGTGGACCTTAACAGCTGAACTTGAAAGGAAGATACAAGCATTAGAAATGTGATATTTCTGAAAAATTCTTGGCATTTCATACAGAAACCACATTACACCACATTTATTGTGAATGTTTTATTGTGAATGTTTTATTGTGAATGTTTTATTGTGAAGGTTTTATTGTGAGTGTTTTATTGTGAATGTTTTATTGTGGGTGTTTTATTGTGAATGTTTTATTGTGAATGTTTTATTGTGAATGTTTTATTGTGTGTTTTATTGTGAATGTTTTATTGTGAATTTTTTATTGTGAATGTTTTATTGTGAGTGTTTTATTGTGAGTGTTTTATTGTGTGTTTTATTGTGAGTGTTTTATTCTATGTTTTATTGTGTGTTTTATTTTGAGTGTTTTATTGTGTCTTTTATTGTGAGTGTTTTATTGTGAGTGTTTTATTGTGAGTGTTTTATTGTGTGTTTTATTTTGAGTGTTTTTTTGTGTGTGTTTTATTGTGAGTGTTTTATTGTGAATGTTTTATTGTGAATGTTTTTGTGTGAATGTTGAATGTTTTATTGTGAATGTTTTATTGTAAGTGTTCTATTGTGAGTGTTCTATTGGGAATGTTTTATTGTGAGTGTTCTGTTGTGAATGTTTTATTGTAAGTGTTTTTTTTTTTTTTGAGTGTTCTATTGTGAGTGTTTTATTGTGAGTGTTCTATTGTGAGTGTTTTATTGTGAATGTTTTATTGTGAGTGTTCTATTGTGAGTGTTCTATTGTGAGTGTTTTATTGTGAGTGTTCTATTGTGAGTGTTCTATTGTGAGTGTTCTATTGTGTATGTTTTATTGTGAGTGTTTTATTGTGAGTGTTTTATTGTGAATGTTTTATTGTGAGTGTTCTATTGTGAGTGTTTTTTGTGAATGTTTTGTTGTGAGTGTTTTATTGTGAATGTTTTATTCTCTGTGCAGGCTCCGTGAACCAAACCTTGCCTGCTGAGATAAACCTGCTGACCACATCACCAATCATTTGGCACAGGTGAACAGGCTTGTGTCTGTGGGTCTGAGAGTTCTCTCTCCAATCCATTATACAGAAATTATCTACACATTGAATACTAACCATTTGTTTTGATTTACATGAAGCTGTGTTTCATTATTTTTCTACCTAATCTCCCTCCTTATCAATGCAATTTGCCCTGAAATGCTTTACTTAAAATTGTACTTTTCTAAGAAAGGCTTTGTTTCAAATCATACTTATCTCAGGTAGGCTTTGTTTCAAAATTGTACTTATTTCAGAAAGGCTTTGTTTCAAAAATGTACTTATTTCAGAAAGGCTTTGTTTCAAAAATGTACTTATCTTAGAAGCTTTGTTTAAAATTGTAAAAAACTTAGAAGTTACTCTGAACTTGCTTAACCTCTAATGATTCTCTCAGTTTCTCTTACGGGTGTTTATGTCCCCGCTCTGGGTGTTCTCAGCCTGTGATTTTTATCAACTGTTACATGAAAGACAGCGATCAGCTCTACCAGTTACCAGTTCTCTCTTTTTTGATGGACTAACCCTATTGCTGTAAGAAGACTGAATCTAGTCACTTCCGGTTGCAACACACAGTTTAATGCCTATATTGCCTTTCCTGTGTGGTAGTTAAAAAGCAAAGTTAAATATTGATGTTTGCACCTACATACTGGTTAAGATGCCTAAATGTTAATATATTAAATGTATATTTCAATTGGATCATCTGTTTCGATCAGCTGTTTTGCCGATTTTCAGTTGTTGTGAAATCTGACATGTAATACAAAAAGATAATAACATCAAAAGGTTTTAAATAAATTGTTTCAAATAAAGACTAGCTGATACATAATTGTTTCAAATAAAGACTAGCTGATACATAATTGTTTCAAATCAAATATAGACTAGCTGATACATAATTGTTTCAAATAAAGACTAGCTGATACATAATTGAACAGAGAGGGCATGTGAATTTTTAAAATTGGATAGCAATGTTGTTGAACAAGTAAAAAAAGTAAGGTAAGTGCAACATTTTTTATGTAAATAATCTTCATATGTGTCTAACATCCTTGAATGTGGGATTTAATATTATTTTGTAATACTGACGATAGTTTAGATTTATTCTGCATTAGTTTCTCTTTAATTTGATACATTGTATGTCCCTATACATCCAGTACTTTTTCTTTAGGAAGGTTTTAGCTTTGTCATTTTGCATTAACAAAATTCCACTCAAAATTAATGCTGTCCAAACCCCAGAAAAAATTTTATCCTAAAAAAAGTTAAAATTATTTTCTTAAAAGTGTCGTCAATTTCATGATCCATTTCTGTAGCATTCACAGGGCTAAAGGGTTACGGCAGCTTTATGTTCATATCAGTGTGTTTCACCTGTTTTGTGTGTGTGTGTGTCGAACAGTAGTAACATTTTATTATATGATATCGGAGCCACCATGGTGTAGTGGCTAGACTCTCACCTGCTGATCCAAAGGTTATAGGTTCAAATCTGCATGGTGCCGGTTTTGTTTCAAACATGATTTTTTGCTCCCAGCTTGGTGCAGCCTTGAATAGTTACCAGGTGAAGTCCTGGGAAGTAAAGGTGACTGGTAGGATGTTGACCTCATTAACCACCACCAAGTGCTGATTAATTGGTCTATAAAATATAGTCCTAGCCCTATGTGCCCAATAGCTTAATGTCATGAACAAGTTTTTTTTTTTAAATTTTAGAGAACAACTAGAAATTACTTTTATACATTATTATTGAGAACAACTAGAAATTACTTGAAACTGTTTTTTTTTTTTTTTTTAAGAGAACAGCTAGAAATTAATTTTGCCCATTATTTCAGCGAACAGCTAGAGATTACTTTATGTGTTATTTCAGGAAAAGTTAGAAATTACTTTTACCCATTATTTCAGAGAACAGCTAGAAATTACTTTTACCAACAGTGATGAGAAGCAGGAGTATAATTTCCCACAGCCTGTAAAAGGTCTGTCTTTATGTTTCTTTTTTGTTCAGTAGATAATATAGAGCTATATAACAAAAGATATTGGTAGCATGTTGAGCAGTAAACATAAAGACAGCGTATACATACAAGCAACTGCTGGCACATTACATAAAACTGTAGTCTGTAAAAGCTGGCAACAAATTACGCTAACAATTTCCCAACTGTTGTTCTCTTTGACAGCTGTTATTTTTATTGTATAGTTATAATTTTCCAACTGTTCTTTTTGTACAGTTACCATTTTCCAGCTGTTGTTTTCTTTGGATGATGACAATAGGCCAGGCTATGTTCTTACCAAGAGACCAATCTTTATAATTATTTGTTAAGATAATTCAGTACATTTTACAGTGGATACTGTGTGAGAGAAGACTGGTATTAACTGTGAACAGCATAACAACTGTGGAAGAAGAATGAAAGATGAAAGAGCATAAGAGAGATAAATGTTATATGATCAGACATATTTTTGTAGATTATTTTAATTCTTTATCACATCATATACATTATCATAATTAATCCTTACAGCTGATTTCGTTTCTTTATGACATTCAACTAAACTATTTTACCAATGCTTTCTGTTCTTTACTACATTATGTTTATGAAACACATTTACAGTGATCGTTAACATTCTTTGAATGTGCATTTATGTTTGATCAAACATGTCCTGACAGATGGCTTGGAGGATTACTGGCAACAAGTGCTGCGCCTGAGAACTTCACTGACTGTCACCATGTCAGTTAGCATTGTAAGTCCATAGATGGATTAGTTTGTTGGTTGCTGAGATCTCTCTTGGAGACTGTGTCATTCTTATTCCAGCATAGTTACTCAGGAGTGAAGCTGACTTTCCGGTCTATCTCAATATCAGACATGTACATTCCTTTCATTCTTCAGTTCATTATTCATTTAAAGATCATCTTCATCGTTCATCGGACATGATCAAATGTGCTCCAATCTCCTCCTGAATATATCTCCAAGTGTTTTTAGGCTACCAACTCACATTCTATTCTGGCTGATGTAACGACAGGTGGCGCCCTTATGGTTTTCCTTTCTCGTTGCTTCAATTGGTACACCCAGGGTGTGCAGTCTATTAAGTGAAAAATAATTTTCCACGAAACTGAAAGCCTCACAACGTGTAGTCCCTCTATGGCACAGATGATGTCTCTCCTGTCCATAGATGGCCCATTCCTGACTCAGCACTGCCAGCCAGAGCGTCTGCTCTCTCACTGGCTTTCACACCAGCATGACCTGGGACAAAAATGAAAAAGATTTTAAAAAAATGCTGCTTGCTGTATCAGATGGAGCCACTGTTTCCGTTTATGCCCTGCCTTCATCTTCTGAATCCTTCTCATTAAGTCACTAAGAGTTTCCATTCTAGAATTTCTTGTGGTGTCTGTCCACAACGGCAAAGTTCTGAGTTTCAAATCTTGAACTTCTTGTGGTGACCAGCACGCTGTCTAAATTATAATGGTCTGTTTCTCTTATGTGAGAAGGTTGACTGGTTGACTGTACCCCTAAGTATGTCCTTTCTCTGGCTGTTGTGTACAACTTCCAGTTTTTGCTAACTAGTCTGCTGCATCTTGTCCCTGAATGTTTCCCTTGCCTGGGATCCCCTGGAGAACAGGCTGCTTGTTGAGCTGATCCATTTGATTTAGCATAGATCTTAGCTTGTTCAAATGTAGTTGCTTATCATTTTGTATTGTTGCAATACTGAGCAAACATATTGTTGTTTGATAAGTTACTGTTGCTTACATTAATTGTTTGTTTCTTAAATTTAAGTTTCCCATTTACATTTTTATCTGTCCTGTGTCTTGCTTTATATTTTTCATACAAGGTGACTTTCTCTATGTCACTTCTTTATTGATGTGTCCCAACATTCTTTGAGCAAACAGAACCCAAATCACCTTTGTCATCACCCATTGACCAGTGTTCCCATCTGTACATAAACACAGGCCATACACACAACCGCACATCATCCTTTGCTTGAGGAGTAAAAAAATAGCACACCAGAAACTGAACAATTTAGCCAGTGTGATAATTTATGATCTCCGCAGACTGGAGAGAGTAACTATGACAATCTGCTGGCGGTGTCGTTCCATGCCTCAGAACACAAGAATCTCCAGCTGAATCAAGGTAACTGATTTACCACAAACTTTTTCAGCTATCATAAATCTTTTGTGTAGCTTTATGCTCTTTCTTCACAGTTTCATTTGTGCCAGGTCTTATAAACATTTGTATAGTTTTTGTTTGAAGGTACCTCTTTTTTAATTCCTCCAACCATCGCCTAAATTGATTTTCATAAATAAGAAAATGTTGAAAACCAGTTAAACTCTCCAGCTGGTTGACTGAAGACTTGACCTTAATAATGGAAAATCTGATTACAGTTTTTGATGAAGCCATTGAAGAATGTAAATTTGTGTTGGTGGCTTGTACTTTGGTCATCACATGACATGGTAGTTGCTGCTCTTATTTCTCATGTCAGTGGTTTAACTAAGAAATGCAGGACTTATCCCTATCTGATGTGTTCCACGGGCCATGGGACAGCAACGGATGGTCAAACTAGATCCTTTCATGGATGGAGCAAAAAGGCAGGACTTATCCCTATCTGATGTGTCCCTGGGGCCATGGGACAGCAACCCATGGTCAAACTGGAACCTTTCATGGATTGGGGTGGAAAAAAAAACACAACAGAAGATGACTTGTAAAGACTGACTTGAGACTGGCTACCTCATCCAGTAAAAAACAAGATTAGCAATAAAATGTGACCAGTCATAAACAAATCTCTAAACCATTCTCTGAGTGTGGGGTGTCGACCAGATCCCCTGGTCACTTAACCATTCTCTGAGTGTGGAGTGTCGACCAGATCCCCTGGTCACTCCCCCATTCTCTGAGTGTGAGGTGTTGACCAGATCCCCTGGTCACTCCCCCATTCTCTGAGTGTGAGGGGTCGACCAGATCCCCTGGTCACTTAACCATTCTCTGAGTGTAGGGTGTCGACCAGATCCCCTGGTCACTCCCCCATTCTCTGAGTGTGAGGTGTTGGCCAGATCCCCTAGTCACTTAACCATTCTCTGAGTGTGAGGTGTCGACCAGATCCCCTAGTAACTTAACCATTCTCTGAGTGTGGGGTGTCGACCAGATCCCCTAGTCACTTAACCATTCTCTGAGTGTGGGGTGTCGACCAGATCCCCTAGTCACTTAACCATTCTCTGAGTGTGGGGTGTCGACCAGATCCCCTAGTCACTTAACCATTCTCTGAGTGTGGGGTGTCGACCAGATCCCCTAGTCACTTAAGCATTCTCTGAGTGTGGGGTGTCGACCAGATCCCCTAGTCACTTAACCATTCTCTGAGTGTGGGGTGTCGACCAGATCCCCTAGTCACAACCATTCTCTGAGTGTGAGGTGTTGACCAGATCCCCTAGTCACTTAACCATTCTCTGAGTGTGGGGTGTCGACCAGATCCCCTAGTCACTTAACCATTCTCTGAGTGTGAGGTTTCGACCAGATCCCCTAGTCACTTAACCATTCTCTGAGTGTGGGGTGTCGACCAGATCCCCTAGTCACTTAACCATTCTCTGAGTGTGAGGTGTTGGCCAGATCCCCTGGTCACTCCCCCATTCTCTGAGTGTGAGGTGTTGGCCAGATCCCCTGGTCACTCCCCCATTCTCTGAGTGTGGGGTGTTGGCCAGATCCCCTAGTCACTTAACCATTCTCTGAGTGTGAGGTGTTGGCCAGATCCCCTAGTCACTTAACCATTCTCTGAGTGTGGGGTGTTGAGCAGATCCTCTAGTCACTCCCCTATTCTCTGAGTGTGGGGTGTTGGCCAAATCCTCTAGTCACTTAACCATTCTTTGAGTGTGGGGTGTTGAGCAGATCCTCTAGTCACTCCCCTATTCTCTGAGTGTGGGGTGTTGGCCAAATCCTCTAGTCACTTAACCATTCTTTGAGTGTGGGGTGTTGGCCAAATCCCCTGGTCACTTAACCATTCTCTGAGTGTGGGGTGTTGGCCAGATCCCCTAGTCACTCCGCCATTCACTGAGTTTGGAGTGTGGCCACATCCCCTAGTCACTAACTGTTGCTCCAATCTCTTCAGACCTTTCATATCTGTGCCTCTGCTTGGTTAACTTGCTCCCAAAGGGCCTTGAAATAATATACAGCATGAGTTTTGAATGGATGGGCAGTATCAGGATGTAGTCAAGATCAGCATAGTCAGTTGTTTTTAAAAAAGGCTTACTCAAAGACTGTTTGCATTACCATTACCTTTTTGTGTGTGTTTTCTGTGACTAATAATGTGTCATTATACTATCCCCAGATATTTACATTCCATATTTAAATAAAGGAGGTAAGTTTGCCGTTGGTTGGTTGTGTTTTATGTTGGTTTCCAGTGGATGAATTTTATCATTTCCAGGAAAATGTTTTTTTTTTTTGTATATGAGAATAGCTGGCTGGTTGGCTGGACTGGTTGGCTGGGCTGGGCTGGTTGGCTGGACTGGTTGGCTGGGCTGGGCTGGTTGGCTGGGCTGGGCTGGTTGGCTGGACTGGTTGGCTGGGCTGGGCTGGTTGGCTGGGCTGGGCTGGTTGGCTGGACTGGTTGGCTGGGCTGGGCTGGTTGGCTGGGCTGGGCTGGTTGGCTTGCTGCATTAATGACGACTGACTGGCTGGCTGAGAATTTTGTGGTAGATAGTGAGCTTCAGTTCTGAGGTCAGACATATTAGCATTGAGATTATCTAGATCCTGAGGAGAGCCGACATTTCTCAAAGTGAGGCTAGTATAGAGTTGAAGACATACAGGAAAGTGACTGAGAGAGAAATCATCAACTGATAACAGTATATACCCTGACAAACACTGAGAGAGAAATCATCAACTGATAACAGTATATACCCTGACAAACACTGAGAGAGAAATCATCAACTGATAACAGTATAGTCCCTGACAAACACTGAGAGAGAAACCATCAACTGATAACAGTGTATACCCTGGCAAACACAGAGAGAGAAATCATCAACTGATAACAGTATATACCCTGACAAACACTGAGAGAGAAACCATCAACTGATAACAGTGTATACCCTGGCAAACACTGAGAGATAAATCATCAACTGATAACAGTATAGTCCCTGACAAACACTGAGAGAGAAATCATCAACTGATAACAGTGTATACCCTGGCAAACACAAAGATAAATCATCAACTGATAACAGTGTATACCGTGACAAACACTGAGAGAGAAATCATTAACTGATAACAGTGTAGTATCTGACAAACACTGAGAGAGAAATCATCAACTGATAACAGTGTATACCCTGACAAACCCTGAGAGAGAAATCATCAACTGATAACAGTGTATACCCTGACAAACACAGAGAGAAATCATCAACTGATAACAGTGAATACCCTGACAAACACTGAGAGAGAAATCATCAACTGATAACAGTGTATACCCTGACAAACACAGAGAGAAATCATCAACTGATAACAGTGAATACCCTGACAAACACTGAGAGAGAAATCATCAACTGATAACAGTGTATACCCTGACAAACACAGAGAGAAATCATCAACTGATAACAGTGAATACCCTGACAAACACTGAGAGAGAAATCATCAACTGATAACAGTGTAGTCCCTGACAAACACTGAGAGAAATCATCAACTGATAACAGTGTATACCCTGGCAAACACAGAGAAATCATCAACTGATAACAGTGTATACCCTGAAAAACCCTGAGAGAGAAATCATCAAGTGATAACAGTATAGTCCCTGACAAACACTGAGAGATAAATCATCAACTGATAACAGGGTATACCCTGGCAAACCCTGAGAGAGAAATCATCAACTGATAACAGTGTATACCCTGACAAACACAGAGAGAAATCATCAACTGATAACAGTGAATACCCTGACAAACACTGAGAGAGAAATCATCAACTGATAACAGTGTAGTCCCTGACAAACACTGAGAGAAATCATCAACTGATAACAGTGTATACCCTGGCAAACACAGAGAAATCATCAACTGATAACAGTGTATACCCTGAAAAACCCTGAGAGAGAAATCATCAAGTGATAACAGTATAGTCCCTGACAAACACTGAGAGATAAATCATCAACTGATAACAGGGTATACCCTGGCAAACCCTGAGAGAGAAATCATCAACTGATAACAGTGTATACCCTGACAAACCCTGAGAGAGAAATCATCAACTGATAACAGTGAATACCCTGACAAACTCTACGCTGTACTGGTTGTTAAAGTTGAGAGGATTGCTTTACTGAAGCAGGTTTGATCTCATATGGCTCGATCTCTGTCCAGAGCGCTAGTCATCTGCCAAGAGAATTACACAAAACACACTACATGAACCTGATGATTCATCTGTGAAACAAACCTATGACCTTCAGAGCATGAGGCACCTGACTTGACCACTTCACCTTTGAGACCAGAGTATTGTGGGGCAATCAAATGGTTTTTATGTTTTGCTGCTGAGATGCCTCACCCAGATTTGGCAGCAAAGTCAGGAAGAGATCTGTATCCTTGTATTTGAAGTCCTAATGATGTCCTGTCTGTCTATGTCCAGGAACATGGTCAGAAGTGTTGTATAATCTTAGGAAAATGAATGACTATTTTGACTAAGCCTTCTTCTCCTCTTCCTCCTTGTTCGCCTCCTCCTTCTTTTCCTCCTTGTTCACCTCCTCCTTGTTCGCCTCCTCCTTGTTCTCCTTCTTCTTGTTCTCCTCCTCATTGTTTTTCTCCCCTTCTCCTCTTCCTCCTTCATCTACATTATGTTGTTTCTAAGGAGAGAAGTAGCTACTTTCAAGTTCATGATAGTTTGTGGTGGCATAGAAATGGTTTATGTCATATTTGTGTATTAAGGGTCAACAGAGGATAACTAATTACTGTGACATCATATGTCAGTCATCCAGCAGTGTCGTATATAGTAACTGACGTATGTGATCGGGAGACGCATCACAAACTTGCTAAGTGTCTGAGGGATTTATTTATAAATGTCAGTCCTCCACATATACCCACAGGGTTCTCTTAGCTAACCATGGCTGCCAACTCTCATTGGCATGGCACATGCTGATGGTGATTATAACTGGAGTAAAGGAGGGCCAACTAAACAGGGAGCACCACAGTAACCTAGGACAAGCAAAATAAAATCCTCATCTGCACAGTCGTGGGGACAGTACAACCCATGGCTGGAGTAAAGGAGGGCCAACTAAACAGGGAGCACCACAGTAACTTAGGACAAGCAAAATAAAATCCTCATCTGCACAGTCATGGAGACAGTACTACCCATGGCTGGAGTAAAGGAGAGCCAACTAAACAGGGAGCACCACAGTAACCTAGGACAATCAAAATAAAATCCTAATCTGCACAGTCGTGGGGACAGTACAACCCATGGCTGGAGTAAAGGAGGGCCAACTAAACAGGGAGCACCACAGTAACCTAGGACAAGCAAAATAAAATCCTCATCTGCACAGTTGTGGGGACAGTACTTCCCATGGCTGGAGTAAAGGAGGGCCAACTAAACAGGGAGCACCACAGTAACCTAGGACAAGCAAAATAAAATTCTCATCTGCACAGTCGTGGGGACAGTACTACCCATGGCTGGAGTAAAGGAGGGCCAACTAAACAGGGTGCACTACAGTAACCTAGGACAAGCAAAATAAAATCCTCATCTGCACAGTCGTGGGGACAGTACTACCCATGGCTGGAGTAAAGGAGGGCCAACTAAACAGGGAGCACCACAGTAACCTAGGACAAGCAAAATGAAATCCTCATCTGCACAGTCATGGGGGCAGTACTACCCATGGCTGGAGTAAAGGAGGGCCAACTAAACAGGGAGCACCACAGTAACCTAGGACAAGAAAAATAAAATTCTCATCTGCACAGTCGTGGGGACAGTACTACCCATGGCTGGAGTAAAGGAGGGCCAACTAAACAGGGAGCACCACAGTAACCTAGGACAAGCAAAATAAAATCCTCATCTGCACAGTTGTGGGGACAGTACTACCCATGGCTGGAGTAAAGGAGGGCCAACTAAACAGGGAGCACCACAGTAACCTAGGACAAGCAAAATAAAATCCTCATCTGCACAGTCGTGGGGACAGTACTACCCATGGCTGGAGTAAAGGAGGGCCAACTAAACAGGGAGCACCACAGTAACCTAGGACAAGCAAAATAAAATCCTCATCTGCACAGTCGTGGGGACAGTACTACCCATGCGGCCGTGGATCCTCAGGCTCAATGACCCCACTCTACATGCACCGCACAATTGGTATAATAAAGGCAATAATTGGCCTTTTGTGTGTGTGTGTGTGTGTGTGTGCAGTGCAGTTAGTCTTTTTATTATGGAGAACTCATTGCGATGAAGATCAATTGGTGATCAATGCCTCGCTGTCAGACTACCACTCCTGCCAACTACACCCACATTGGCAGTCTCCAGAGTATGGACAAAACACACTAGTGAACTACATACAGGGTGCCTGCTACGGGGTGACTGACACCCGATCCTGCAGATACACCTACTTGATGTGCAGTGATAGACCTCTGACTCCCTCTGAGAGACCCCACTGCATGAGGATCCAAGTAGATGCACAGCTTAGTGAAAAGAATTTAGACCTCCTGTCTACTACCCTGTCATCATTGAAGTATCACTGATCAGCATCTAGTGAACCAGCTTCCCAGATAACTCCTCATCACAACTCCACGCTGGCCAACACACACAAAATTACCCTAGCACCTTCCGTGTCACTTCAGGACACCCTTTCAGCCAGCATGTCACACAGCCACAAATGTGCCAACCTAACACAAACCTAGGCTGAAACAAGTGCATTCTAGGAAATCACTCTAACAGCATTTGGAAGTAAAACTGATCCACAACATTCACAGGACAGATTACAAGCTCCCACAGAATAAAACATCTTGGTAAAACTGCCACGCAACCAAGTCCATGCATCCGTAGGACTTCAACAATTCACGCACGTGTCCACACACTTAAACTAACTAAAAGCTGACTGACTCAACTCAAACTGCCATGGGATTTCCCCCCATGCTGCGATTCTGCATGGATCTCACTCTCTTGCCAAACTCTGGGGTGTTTGCAGTCACCTGGTGAATATCAAGCAACCTCTGTTTTTTTTGACTTTAATTGGCTCAAATATTTAGACCCACAACATAACATGAATGCCCGTGTGAACCCATGCTTGACAGAACCTGCTTCATTAACTCTTTACACACCACAGTGACTTTCCTTATCCAACATTAATGTGCTGCTATTTGAAAATACTGCACTTTGATAAACCTGTTGTGAGTTGAATATTCAGTGTAAATGTTTGATTCCAGAGTCAGCCAGAGTGACCTTTCTGGGGAACATCGGGATTCCAGAACCCGTGGCTATACCTGTCAGGTGTGTACATGCTGTGTCCGCAGTCGTTATTGTATACTGACAGTGATTACTTAACAAAAACTAACATAGGCACTTTTATAGTCCAGACTGTGTGGTGTTGGTCCTCATGTTTGTTGACACAGCTTTCTGTCTCATTTACTGTCAACTGTTTCTGATACAGGTCTTCTTGATATCTGCTTTTATTTCTGATATGAACTCAAGGTTGCAGACACTGTCTTAGAATATTGTGGATTCAGACAGAATACAGAACTGCAAAGATGTTACAATATTTGAAGATAAAGAAAATGGGCTTATAAATAGCATCATTTCTTGGAAACTGAAATAAGTCATGGGGTAGAGGGGGACCTAACGGAACACACTAGTGGACACAGGACATGAAGAACACTGGGAACAACATAGCATGAGGCTGGAGGATTGAAGAACACTGGGAACAACATAGCATGAGGCTGGAGGATTGAAGAACACTGGGAACAACATAGCATGAGGCTGGAGGATTGGCATACAATTGAACATATTTCTAGTGGGCTATGGTGGAGAGTTATGATGAAGATAGTGATTTCACTGGCCTCAAGAGTTCCTCATCACCGTTATTCATGTTAAATAGTAGTATTCTTAGCCTGAAAAAGCGGGCTCCTGGTGTATAGAAGTATATCACCTAGTCTGCTGGGGGGGGGGGGGGGGGGGGGGAGGGAGGAAGGAGAGGGGGTAAGGGGTAATGGGATCAAAAGTTATGAGTTAGATTGTCTTCACAGCACTTCGGACACATTCATAGGCGCTCAGATTCCCCACTCAACATATTTATCAAGAGTTGTGCAGTTAATAGTGCCAGTCCTATGTTGGTTAACAAGACTTTGTGTGCATCCAGTGTGCTTCTCATGCTTGGCTGTGCTGATCTTAACTCCCAATTCTCGTATTCTTAGCAGTGATGTGGAAATACTTAGAATGTTCTATCTCTCTAAGGGCAATGACAATGTCTGCATGATCCATTGGCCGGCCATCTTTATTTAATGCAGAACCTGCCAGTCTGTCAGCTCTTTTATTACTAACAACGCCTGCATACCCTTGGACAAATATGAAGGTAACTGCACACACTTAAACCACTATCTGCATAACCAGCCTGCCTCAAACCGCCAGATCATGCTCAAAGAATCATCTGCACACACACAGCGGGAATAGTCCTGTGATTCTAGCCACATGAAAGCTTGTGTCACCGCCCTCACCTCCATCGTGTATGTGTGTGTGTATCCATGCATGTGTGTGTGTGTGTGTGTGCATGGGTGTCTGTTTGAATCAATGTATGTGTTTGTAGGATTAGCTATGTGTGTGTGTTTGTGTGTGTGCATCCATGTGTGTGTGTGTATGTATGGTTGACTATGTGTGTGTATGCATCAATGTGTGTGTAAGGTTGAATCTCTGTGTGCATGTGTGCGTGCATTGGCAGGCAGGGGGTCGTGTGTGCGTTGAAGTAGACTTCTAGATTATGATATCTGAGGCTGAAGCATCATCTGGGATGAGAGGAAAATGAAAACGGTGCACTTGCAAGCTTTACAGGTAGCAAAGTAAGCTAGGTAGTTGTGAGTATTGATACCTCATCAGCGTGTTGTTATTGATAGAGCTGCCTTTGGTTGCAACAAAGCAACCTGTGAGTGTGAGCTGAGCCCAGTCAAGTTTGGGCTACAAGATTTCCTGACTCCGTTCCCATGGCACAAGTTTGACATCACAGACAAGCAGCAGTTCTTCAGTCGACACTGGAACAACTACACAGACAAGTCTGCAGGCAAGAGGTATGTACACTGACAGTTATCTTCAATGCATGACCTTGATCTAATGCAGTAAAAGCTTTAAAAAATATTATTGTTCTTAATACTTTGTTTACTGTTTGTTATTGCCATGATTTCCTTATGTTCATATAGACAACCACATTTCTCTGTACATGTTTCCTTATGTTCATATAGACAACCACATTTCTCTGTACATGTTTCCTTATGTTCATATAGACAACCACATTTCTCTGTACATGTTTCCTTATGTTCATATAGACAACCACATTTCTCTGTACATGTTTCCTTATGTTTATATAGACAACCACATTTCTCTGTACATGTTTCCTTATGTTCATATAGACAACCACATTTCTCTGTACATGTTTCCTTATGTTTATATAGACAACCACATTTCTCTGTACATGTTTCCTTATGATCATATAGACAGCCACATTTCTCTGTACATGTTTCCTTATGTTCATATAGACAACCACATTTCTCTGTACGTTTCCTTATGTTCATATAGACAGCCACATTTCTCTGTACGTTTCCTTATGTTCATATAGACAACCACATTTCTCTGTACACGTTTCCTGATGTTCATATAGACAGCCACATTTCTCTGTACATGTTTCCTTATGTTCATATAGACAACCACATTTCTCTGTACATGTTTCCTTATGTTCATTTAGACAACCATATTTCTCTGTACATGTTTCCTTATGTTCATATAGACAGCCACATTTCTCTGTACATGTTTCCTTATGTTCATATAGACAGCCATATTTCTCTGTACATGTTTCCTTATGTTCATATAGACAGCAAAATTTCTCTGTACATGTTTCCTTATGTTCATATAGACAGCCACATTTCTCTGTACGTTACCTTATGTTCATATAGACAACCACATTTCTCTGTACGTTTCCTTATGTTCATATAGACAACCACATTTCTCTGTACATGTTTCCTTATGTTCATATAGACAGCCACATTTCTCTGTACATGTTTCCTTGTGTTCATATAGACAGCCACATTTCTCTGTACATGTTTCCTTATGTTCATATAGACAACCACATTTCTCTGTACATGTTTCCTTATGTTCATATAGACAACCACATATCTCTGTACATGTTTCCTTGTGTTCGTATAGACAACCACATTTCTCTGTACATGTTTCCTTATGTTCATATAGACAACCACATTTCTCTGTACATGTTTCCTTATGTTCATATAGACAACCACATTTCTCTGTACATGTTTCCTTGTTATGAAGACAAGAATTTTGTATGAACAAATAAAGGATGATATTAAATTATAAAATTTCAGTCAGGGCGTGGAGTCTGTGAAAGTTCTCAAGTGTAGTCGGCAGTCATTGATTGATGTTTGGAGACCAGCCTTGATCAATTATGGTGAGCTCATTTTGTCAGTTTGTCAAAATGTACATTTGTTAACCTTTTCAGTTTATTTTAACTGTTGCTAAAAATTTTTTCTGCTTATTGTTTCCTTCATTTTCCTCATTGCTGTTTTGAAGTCGGCTTCACATTATCACAATCTGGATTGGCTAGAAAGACTACATCCGCATACGACACAAATGGGTAGTGATACAATTACAGAACAAGAATACACAAAATGTTTTTATCTGTAAATAGAGGTCTTGACAGAAATATCCATAACGTGTATACAGTAGAAGCTGACACGCACATGACTTTTGAGGTGTGTGCATTGCACTCGTCTCAGATGTCCATGTGTCTGACTTGAGAAAACCTGGAGCTAAAGCTGACATTCTCTTCACAGCTTCCATCAAGGGTAACAGGCTCTATCTTCCTGGCTTAGATTCTCGTTACCAACAATTTTGCCAACTTAACAAGTTTTTGTGTGTGTGTGTAAGAAATTCTGATCTTTCATTTGATGTGCAAAATGTTCTTTCAGAGAAGTAGTACCTACACATTTCAGTAGTCAAGTGCACTGGGGGAGTTTTTGACACGGAAGTCTTGCTTATCCTGTTTGAAAAAAAAAATGTGTGAGTTCCTGGAGCATCATGGAATCTGTCATTTGGGTTCTTTTTCTGCACATAGCCTCAGTGTTCAGTACAGTTTCATATATTTTCTTCTAACTTCCCTGACTCTATCCTTTCGACCCCTCACCTATCCTGTCTCTCTGGGTCACTTCCTGTCTGTTGTCTCCAGTGAGGACGTATTAACAGGTTTCTTTAATGCTCATTGAGATTGCCTGTCAGCAAGCCTGAGACTGCCTGCCAGCAAGCCTGAGATTGCCTGTTAGCAAGCCTGAGACTGCCTGCCAGCAAGTCTGAGATTGCCTGTCACCAAGCCTAAGATTGCCTGTCAGCAAGCCTTTGGCTTCTGACAGAGTGGATATTTCAACTAGAAGTTGACTATGTTTTTTAGCCCTTTCACCCCAAAAATGCACAAAACAAATTTAGGTCATGACTCTGAAGAAAACCAATTGTATGGAATTCATTACCCAAGGCCTACAAGAAATATGTATCTGGTGACTTGTGCTGTAACCCTCTGTCACTGAGGCTTGTGTGAAAATGTTACATCAGCTTGGCTTGTAAAAAAGTCATTGGGTTCACAAGGAAGCTCCCTAATGAAATTCTTGGTTAATGTATTTATATCTGGGCCTCTAAAACATAACACAGGTGCACTAGAACCAGTGGCATGTAACTATGCTTTTCAAGGTCAGATCACTGTAGAAGTAATACCAATACTTCAGTGTTTATGGGATTGGGTCACAACCAGATGTAACTATATTTATTATGTAAAGGGTGACAGGTTAAAATGCTAAATTATTTTATGTAGTTGTATAATTTTCCTGGTTGCTGCATGCTGTTGAACGCTTTTTAGCCAAACCATATTTTGTCATTCATAATTCTGTTTTATTAGCAAGTCTATGTACACTTTTGTCAGGACACATGATGATGATTTCAATTGCTGTTTTTGTGTGTGTGCACTTTTTCTCTGTGACCTTTCAGTCCTTTATTCTGTGAACTTTCAGTCCTTTATTCTGTGACCTTTCAGTCCTTTATTCCATGACCTTTCAGTCCTTTATTCCATGACCTTTCAGTCCTTTATTCTGTGACCTTTCAGGCCTTTATTCTGTGACCTTTCAGGCCTTTATTCTGTGACCTTTCAGTCCTTTATTCTGTGACCTTTCAGTCCTTTATCTTGTCACCTTTCAGTCCTTTTTTCTGTTACCTTTCAGTCCTTATTCTGTGACCTTTCTGTCCTTTTTTCTGTGACTGACCAGTCCTATATTTTATGACCTTTCGGTCCTTTACTTTGTGACTTTTCAGTCTTCTTTTGTGCAACCTTTCATTCCTTTTTTCTGTGACCTTTCAGTCCTTTATTCTGTAACCTTTCAGTCCTTTATTCTGTGACCTTTCAGTCCTTTATTCTGTGACTGATCAGTCCTTTATTCTATGACCTTTCAGTCCTTTACTTTGTGACCTTTCAATCCTTTATTCTGTGACCTTTCAGTCCTTTATTCTGTGACCTTTCAGTCCTTTATTCTGTGACCTTTTAGTCCTTTATTCTGTGACCTTTCAGGCCTTTATTCTGTGACCTTTCAGTCCTTTATCTTGTCACCTTTCAGTCCTTTATTCTGTGACCTTTCAGTCCTTTATTCTGTGACCTTTCAGTCCTTTATTCTGTGACCTTTCAGACCTTTATTCTGTGACCTTTCAGGCCTTTATTCTGTGACCTTTCAGTCCTTTATCTTGTCACCTTTCAGTCCTTTATTTTGTAACCTTTCAGTCCTTTATTCTGTGACCTTTCAGTCCTTTATCTTGTCACCTTTCAATCCTTTATTCTGTGACCTTTCAGTCCTTAATTCTGTGACTTTTTTGTCCTTTATTCTGTGACTGATCAGCCCTTTAGTTTTAGATTATCTAACAGAAATGCCTGTTTATTCAGTCACCTATTTGTAATTAAGAGTATGCTGCCATACAAACTGTGTATGTGTGAGTGCACGCTCATCTTTGTATGAGCATGTGTGTACATGTGAGTGCATGATCATCTGTAAGCATAAGTGCACATTTAAGTGTGTGCATATACACGTGACCATGTGCCTGTGCAGTGCGCTTCTTGTATTTTTATGCATTATGAAAAAATATACTAATTAAGTCTAGTTTAGTGTGTTGGCAATGTTATGTTTTTATTTTCTTACTCCTGTCTCATCTCTTTCTCCCAGAGGACAACCACAAGGATATCGATGATTACTTGTTCTTCCTGCCGCCACGATTCCACCTTTTGTTTCATGTACAGACGAGAGCTACTCCACTGGTGGTGCACATAGCCTCTGACTACTGGCCTGTGCTAGGACACCTTGATGACTACCTGGACAACTTGAGTTAACACACCTGAATGGTTTAAAGCCTGTTGAAGACTGTTTGGATGACTCAGTTTCAGATTAGGACACCCTGCTGCCTGTTTGGACAACTGATTTTAATAATGCATCTTTCTGCCTGTTTGGAAAACTACTTTTAATAATTCATCATTTTGCCTATTTGTGCAACTACTTTTAAAAGTGACAAATTCTGGATATTTGGACAACTACTTTTAATAATTCTTTATTCTGCCAGTTTGGATAACTGCATTAGTTTATGCATTTTTCTGCCTTTTTGAACAACTGCTTTTAATGTGGCATCTTTCTGTCGCTTTGGACAACTGCTTTTAATTATGCATTTTTCTGCCTATTTGGACAATGGCTTTTATTGATATTAATAAAGTAACATAAAATGTATTGATGGTCACTCATAGAAAGAAGTAGAAAGATAAAAGAACACACTAGACAAAACATAAAAATCAAAGGCTATATTTACTGTGCCAAAATCGAACCTGTCACCTCCAGACGGCATGTGCCACATGTGTACAATTTTTGGCTCAGATGAGACTGCCCACTAGATCTTTCTAGGACATAAATAATCTTCTGTCGCCCACATTTATTTATGTTTTTATTGAATCATTTATCTATCATTTTGGATAACTGCTTTCAATTATGCTGTTTTCTATCTATTTGGACTATTGCGTTTAAGGATGTATTTTTCTGCCCATTAAGACAACTGTTTTTAATAATTCTTTTTTCTGTCTATTTATACAATTTTCTTTAAAAAATGCATCTTTCTGTCCATTTGGACAAGCGCTGTTAGTAATGCAACTTTGTCTGTTTTGAATTGTTGGATGATTAAATGAGTAAACAATGGTTTTGTCAATTGATGGTTGATTGCATAGACTGTAGGGGAGATACATTGCTGGGTGGATAATGGTTGTTTGGTTAGATAGATATATGGGTGGTTGAATTGATAAATGTGATTGTTGAATCACTTTTTTGGATTGATGGATGAATCATTGTTGGATCACTTTTTTGGATTGATGGATGAATCATTGTTAAGTAGCTAAATGAATGTAAATGATTGGATGGAGAGCTGAGTAGTTTGAGGCAGCACAAAAACATGCATTCACCCTCTTTTTATTTTATTTTGTGAAAATATTCAGCGATGTGAGTACATCTGTGTATGGTGTGAATGTCAATACCTCTTTATCATAATATGGATTTGTGTGAACTAGAGGTCAGTAAATGTGCTTCACAGTTGTCGATGTACCAGGTTTTGATTTATGCGATGGGCGGCTTTGGACTGTAAAACCCCTTTTCTTGCAGCTCTTTGACAGTTGTACTGGTCCCTGCAGGAAAGAGACTGGAGCTTGACATACTGACTGCAGCCAACCTTCATTGACAGCATAACATTAATGATCTGGATGTGTGTGCAATGTCTGAATATTTTTTGTCCCAGCACAGTCCAGAAATATACACATGCAGTAAATGCATAAGGCAGTTGCTAGAGGTGCCAAAGCCAACAGTCATCACCAGAAATGCAGTTTTTCATTGATGGAAGTAGTCGGTCACAATAAGTTGGCTAATAACATGTAAAGTTATTATATAGGGTATTTTGCACACACGAAAACAGGCTAACAACAATATTGAATACCATGACCCAGCTGCTGCACAAATGAAAGGCATTTCACAGTGCTGTACCAAGCACTTAACTCAATAGCTGAAGCAATGAAACTGTAGACTTGGCTTGCCTGCGGACGAGAAAGTCATGAGTTCAGGTCCTGATGGAAGACCTGTGTGCTGTGATGTCCATTCTGAGCTCAACTCAACTCAACTCCACTCAACTCAACTCAACTCAACTCAACTTGACTCCACTCACCTCAACTCAACTCAACTGACAAACACTGGAACATTGCTTGAATTCCAATATGCATTCTGCTAGTTTATTTCTCCGATTCCATCATAATTATTTAACCACAATCATCGCTATTCACTTCTACAATTATGCCACAATAATCATTTACTCGTGTTGAATACACTTCATTCAAACTATATTGAAGACATCACAACTGTCTTTTTCCAACTCTGGTACACAGCTGACCACGAGTCAACCTCAGACTTTCCTTCCAGCGAGTCAACCTCAGGCTTTCCTTCCAGCGAGTCAACCTCAGGCTTTCCTTACAGCGAGTCAACCTCAGGCTTTCCTTGCAGCGAGTCAACCTCAGGCTTTCCTTACAGCGAGTCAACCTCAGGCTTTCCTTCCAGCGAGTCAACCTCAGGCTTTCCTTCCAGCGAGTCAACCTCAGGCTTTCCTTCCAGCGAGTCAACCTCAGGCTTTCCTTCCAGCGAGTCAACCTCAGGCTTTCCTTCCAGCGAGTCAACCTCAGGCTTTCCTTACAGCGAGTCAACCTCAGGCTTTCCTTGCAGCGAGTCAACCTCAGGCTTTCCTTACAGCGAGTCAACTTCAGGCTTTCCTTCCAGCGAGTCAACCTCAGGCTTTCCTTCCAGCGAGTCAACCTCAGGCTTTCCTTCCAGCGAGTCAACCTCAGGCTTTCCTTACAGCGAGTCAACCTCAGGCTTTCCTTGCAGCGAGTCAACCTCAGGCTTTCCTTACAGCGAGTCAACCTCAGGCTTTCCTTGCAGCGAGTCAACCTCAGGCTTTCCTTGCAGCGAGTCAATCTCAGGCTTTCCTTGCAGCGAGTCAACCTCGGGCTTTCCTTGCAGCGAGTCAACCTCAGGCTTTCCTTGCAGCGAGTCAACCTCAGACTTTCCTTGCAGCGAGTCAACCTCAGACTTTCCTTGCAGCGAGTCAACCTCAGGCTTTCCTTCCAGCTAGTCAACCTCAGGCTTTCCTTGCAGCGAGTCAACCTCAGGCTTTCCTTCCAGCTAGTCAACCTCAGGCTTTCCTTGCAGCGAGTCAACCTCAGGCTTTCCTTGCAGCCCCAAGTATCTAGTGCGGCCGTTTGTTTGCGCATATTTTCTGCCTGACTTGCTGTGAGTGTGGAGACCAAGCAAGGCAGTCATCACAGCCATCCTTCGGCCTTGATTCCATGAAAGATACCGTCAATCTGGGTAATATGTGGCTTGAACTCAGACCACAAGGAGTTTGTCACCTGATTGCCACGCAGCAGGCTTAACCAACTTAGCTAGCATGCTGGGCTACTTTTTATATGAATGTGAATCTATTTATTTGTGTATGTTTTTGTTTGAATTTATAACTGAATGTCTCAAATGTATGGTTGAGCGTAAAAATATCATTCCTTGTCAATAAAGTGACATTTCTGTGCAATTTTAGTTTCCATTTTAAAATTATACTCACATTTTATCCTTTCACAAATAAATACATCTGTGACTTTATTGTATTGTTTCTTTATATTCTATTGTGTTTTGTCTTTACTGATAAGAAACAGTGGACTGGAAAAAGTCTTTTGACGTGTTATAAGAAGGAATGCACTAGAGAACCTAATGATGACTGGTGAGGTTGGTGGAAAGAGAGCAAGGCAAATACCTGGGATGATGCTCTATGATTGAGGGTGAGAAAAGAACATGGACCTGATCTTTGACTCGCATGATCATGTGGGATGGTGAAACAAGACTGCCTGTGTTTATCTGCATGACACAATGATTATGTTGTGTTATGTTTCACAGGTGTTTTGTCTGCAGCTTTCACATAAACGTAAACGTTTTGTTGTTGGGCTCATTGATACCGTCAGTCATGGAAGGTGGCAGTTTGCATCTTCAGGCATTACAAGACATGTTTGTGTTTTAATTTGTTCGACACCAACCTTGTGGTTCACTTTATGTTCTATACAAAAATTATGTTTGTACATCTGTCTCTTGGTTCACTTTTCGTTCTATAAACAGATTATGTTTGTACATGTGTCTATTGGTTCATTATATGTTCTATAAACAGATTCTGTTTGTACACCTGTCTGATGGTTCTTTTTAAGATCTGTAAACAGATTACATTTTGTACACATGTTTCATGGTTCACTTTATGTTCTTTAAAACTGATTCTCTGTGTACACCTGTCTCTTGGTTTACTTTATGTTCTATAAACTGATTTGTGCACCTGTTTCATGGTTCAGTTTATGTTCCATAAACATATTCTGTTTGTACACCTGTCTCTTAGTTCACTTTATGTTCTATAAACTGATTCTATTTGTACACATGTCTCATAGTTTACTTCAGCTTATACAATAAACATACTCTATTTGTAGAATAGTCTCTATGTTCCCTTAACTTCTTATAGTGTCTGCGATCCTGTCTATACACTTCTCTCTTGATTCACTTCACGTTCTATAACCAAAGCCGCTCTCTCTCCCCCTCCCTCTCTCTCTCTCTCTGTCTCTCTCTCTCTCTCTCTTCCTCGCACACCCACCGTATGTGTCTGTGTTGTATGTCAATGTTGTCCAATCACTAACGAAGAGTGCCATAAATTAGACGTGGGACATTCATTGTGCCATTTTATTGTTGTATTCTCGTTTCTCTACTGTGTTAATCTCTTATTTTACGGTTGTATTTTGTTTAAATCGTACGCCTGATCCCTTTTCTATGGAAGATAGCTGAACAGTTGCTGCTAACACTCAAAAATTGACAGTTCCACTAGTGCTCATGCACGACCTACCATATTGTAAATACACTCCCTCGAAGATTTTCCCAGGATTACTTTGAATAATTAATGTCAATGCGAAGATGTGTTCGATGGACACCAGGACATTGAAGAAGCTTAGTTGATTCTTCCCTGTACACTACTTCAGTGTTCTCGTGTCCCCTCTTCTACGGCACACGGGTGTCACGGAATTGGGGGGGGGGGGGGGGGGGTCACTTTATTGTTCAGCTCTTGAATCACTGACCCTGTTTCACTACATATCCATTTCCTACACTGTCGGTCTGCGGTAACTATCTCTCTGTGCAAGTCTGTTTTGCTGAGCGGTGTTCTATGTCCGTTTTGACTTTAACGTACATTTTCGACTAAAAAATTATGAATCTTATGCGCATGACTATGAGTATGGAAGTGTGT